AACACCACCTAGCGGCAGCCAAAATACATAATTGAGTGAACGAGATTATACGACCCGACTAGTAGAGTTCACCCTCTCTTCTTCCCACACAACGGCACCGAGTCATAATTCGGATCAGCCTTTAATCCTCCCCCTGTAAGTTCGCAGGTGATAATAAAGCGCTATCTTCCTTCTCCAGAGACCCGGGCCCAGTTCCCAGGCTCCACTTGGCCCAACTCCTCCTCCATTTCTACCTGCCACCCCTACCGTGGTATGGTAAGTTCACGCTATGCAAATGACGGGCGCGAAGACAATGGACTTGTCCCGTCCACTCCCAGAGCGCGTGTTCATCCGTCCCTCCCCCTACCGAGTTGCATGGAGAAATCTGGCACACTTCGATACTCCCACGTGTGGCAGTCAGTCAGTGGCTCCCATTCCGTCCAACATACTTTTCCTGCACTCTCCGTCCTTAAGACGTTACACTTGATTCTATCTACTCAACGCGAATGTTCTATCTTTAGTGCAAGGCAGATCGACTTGGATACAGTTTGTGTCATGTGTTGTGTTTACACCAGCTCGGATGCACTTCCTTATTTTTCCGCTTAAACAATCGATTCGGATTCCTGGATGTTTACGGTACGTATTTACTTATTTATTTTTAATTAAATATCGGTCTGAGGAGGAGGATCGCTTGCGTAAATCCTTCCTTGATCCGCGCGTGTGAGGAAGACATTTAAACTCCACGCAATTTCCATCATCTACGTAGCGTACAATACATATTGCCATGGGTTTCTAGAGCCAAATTTCTATAATTTGATCCATCAATTCGTATTAAACAGGGTCGAAGCAATATCCAGAATTCATGCGTGAAAAGAATTTAAACTTGAATTTTTAACTTTTATTATTTTTATGGTGCGTATGCCCTTTTTTTTTTTGACTGATGATCGAAGGTAGCCATGCGAATCAAATGATTGCAATTTTTAGCATGGATCCTTTTTTTTTAAAAAAAATTTTACGGATAAATTTGTCTGGGGCATTGCGTACGATCCGTGGACTTCCTGAAACAAACTTTGCCTCGATTATATTAGGGTGGAACCACCCTGTGTGTATTTATAAACCATGGAGGAACATCGAATGGCATTTTTAGATTTTCTTCGAATGGTTTTTTAGTTTTTTTTTTATTATTATTTGGAGGAGAATCCTCTATTAAACATCGTATCCGATTCCGTACATCAGGAAGTCCTTGAATGTGTACTTTGTAATTTTTGATAAGGGCTAGGATATCCTGACAAATATCCAAACAATATAAACCATCTGTAATTGTTTTAACATCTTCAATATCTTTTTTATATCGTAAATTTTTAATGGAGTTGATATATGGAATTATCGAGATTTTGACGAGTAAAATATAACACACCCTCTGAATTTTATTACATTCTAAATCTACTCGTAGAGAAGTATACATTAATTGCATGCAATACGTGGAGAATTTCATGCAATTTATGAACAATTTCTTAATAATAAACCACAAAGTCTGGTCCCTCGAGAGAGAGAGAGAGAGAGAGAGAGAGATGACATTTTCAACTGATTTTGTGGTCAGTACACAAAAGAAGCGATCAGTGAGGATCTTAATCGGTGGTTTACAGATTTCAACCTGTTTACAACGGAAGAAAATTGTCCACTTGGTAGTGTTTGTAAACAGAAATCACCTCCCGGTATTGCGCAAACGGGTAAAGTACCAGAAATTATATAAGCAGCTCCCCATATCGATCTAGTAGATACCCATCTAGGTCATCGAATCGGTTATCACCGAAACACGCACTGGAAGTCCGTGATAAAATTCGTGACAAAGGTCGTCATCGATCACGAACTAGAACGAAAAGCGTGACGGATGCCTCATTTGAATGACGCGATTGAAAGAAAAATGAGGTACTCCTTTGCCTCCAACCATGATGATAGGGTTTAAGAATCGACCTAATCACTCGTCCTCCCCGTGCCTCGTTGTGTATTACGGAATCGCAGGTAAACTCGTTTAGATTTATTGAAAACAAACCGACTTGTTTCCTTTTTCTTCTTCTTCTTTTAATCTTCTGTTCGTCCTTGGCCTGTCTGGTCAAAAACGTCATCTTTTGGAAAAGTTTCTCTTACGAAAATCCCTAAAAGATAAGGCTATCGAAATGTAAGCTTTCGCTAATTACAAAATAAGGATTTCTTCACCGGAACCGTATCGAGCCATTTCCTCCCTCCCTCCATCTCCCCTCCTCTTTTTCTTTTTTTTTTTTTTTTTGGTTGGCTGCGAAGAGCTGATTGTAAGCTTCCGTGCTTTTCTGCTCCCGGTTTTTATCAAAATATTTCCGTCCTTCCTCTCTTCCAATCAATGCACAACGCGCGATTCTTGTGCAGTGACCTCCCGGAAGAAAAAAAAGAGCCCAAGAAAAAAAAAAACAAGGGAGAGTGTTCTATTCTTAGATCGGTTCCTCCTCGTACAAGCAAAATGCCCGATCTGCGGAAGGAATTTCAATTACGTTCGAGGGTGAAACTCCCAGAAGGAGATATGCAACAATAGAGAGGCGAGAGTCACAAAATTTCGGGCTCCGAATTTCGCTTTAAGGAGGTACGATTTAAATTTAAAAAGGGGAGGAAAAAAAAAAAAATGGAGGTTTTTGTATGCAGGTTTAGTAGCCACCATATGGGTGTAAGGATGTCGTACTGTCTACGACCAAATCGCACTGTGGGGGATAGGCAGGTGTTGTCTATGACCCATAACCCCCGACGGGGACACGGCTGTCGCGTGTACTGTGAGTCACAATCGCTATATCTGACTCATTCTGCGGTCTCCCAATTTCTGTTCGCATTCTCTGCCAGGAAAAAAAAGTGAATCATCTTAAACTTTGCCCTTTAAAAGCCGAAAAAGAAAAACAAGATAGGAAAAGAGGGAGGGTCGACGTTTTCCCCCGTCCCGAAATTGCCCACACCGTCGTTTAAAATGTGCTCGTTTTCAGTAACAGATGAAAGAGGACGAACGAGAAGAAGTCGGCCTGAACTTTGAACTACATTTTTTGACGAATGCGATATTTGCTTAGTAGCTGAAGATTTAGATGGGGAGGCGGTGCCACGTTGCTTGGCAGGCCAGCTGCTACGACAAGATGAGGAAGTTTAGAATCCCTTATCTCCACGTTATTTATGATGATGTCACTCCCCCTCTTGTTACCGGACCGGCCGAGCGTTCGACAGAAGGTAGGATAGACTCGGAGTTAGTGTGACGTAGGACGAAATTTCGATTCTCACATCGATCCGCCCACCCTCGAGGAATGATATTCGAGCGCATGCAGGAGACGTCTTGCAAAAGCGTAAGTGGCACGCGAAGAGGAAAAAAAAAATAAAAATAAAAATATACGTGGAGGGACCGAACTCGTGACGGTTCAGAAAATGACCCGCCAGGCGTCTCCTTCCTGACTTGCCCCGGAACAACTCGGAGGGGGCTTAAGGTGACCTCTTGATCTAACGTGCTGTACCATCTCCTCCCTCTTTTAGACGACGGGACTGAAGAAGGGGGGAGGAGGATCACGCAGCTGATTCGTGAAAGCTCCCACCTTCCAGACCGGAATTTAGGCAATTGCTAATTAATGGTTGTCGAACGTAGGTTTTCTTTTTTTTCTCTCTCTCTCTCTCTCTCTGTTCTTATTCCTGTCTTTGACTGACTTCCTGGCGTAGTAGGATTAAAAGGTGAAGATGATACTAATAGATTAATGCCTGGTGTGTTTGCTCCTTCTGTTGTATTGGCATATTTTATTATTTATTTAGACGATTTTTCTTACGTTCTCCACAAAAATCTCTTGGGTTTTCGAGGAAATTCTCATCCGGGTATGTCAAATGATGTGAAAAGTCGGCGTTTTTCTAGAGTCAATGACCTCTATCGGTTGGTAGTCAATATCCGTTAGAATAGAGGGGGGATTGTGAAATATATTGCTATTTTTGGAGTTCTTTAAATTGCATACTGGGCAACGTTCGGTGTTTTTCTGCCACCAAAAACACTTTCGTCCTGTGGCCATTTTGATAGTGGATGAGCCACTCCGTGTCTTATGTTCCGATGTACTGTACGGTACGCTGCAATTCTTGTGTAACCTCAGGCGTGATATCCCTCTGTTCAGGTCTTCGTGAGTTTCTATTTATTTATTTTTTAACGATCGGATGTATATTTTTGTTTGTTTGTTTGTTTTTTAAAGGAAAAACTTCGCATCACTGATATGAACTCCGTTAAACGGAAAAACGGATATTTTGAGTACGTTCAGCTTGGACACGCTTCCAAAATCGAAGCCAGTTTTTGAAACGTTCGGTTTGAGGTCGCGTCAATGATTCACATCCTTGCAATGTCGTTGACTCGTCCGACCAAGCGTAAAACGCCCGCAAAACACAAAAAAATGGCGACGAACGACACAAGACAGCACAGAATCGGTCATCTGAGGACAGCAAAACCATTCCTTTGTGGGTTTTTTTTTTACAGACTTCATTCAGTTCTGACAAGCCGACGTAACCAAGATTTGATGCGGCATTTCCGCGGTTGGCACGATGTTTCTTACGTTCATCCAACCCTCCCCCTTACTAATTTCCTAAATTGAAAAAGAAAAAGAGCGAGGTTGAGGTATTCGAACCCGAATCCGTAGACAATCGGACACGACGATTGCCCGTGCTCTATGATAGAAATTCTTTTGCAAACAGGAAGTATGCGTTTCCAAAAACGTGTTTTGTCTGCCTGTTGCTGCTGCACATTTCTTTTAACTTTCATGTCTGACATGTAATCGGAAATGTCTCGTTTGCTCCCTCTTCGGGATTTTATCATGCGTGAGACATTCTCGTATAATTATAAAAACACACGATTCAAAAATCAGCCAGCAAAATGGAAATCCTTTATAATCATTGGCTCATACCCTCTTTAGAGGTAGCTCGTAATATTCCAGCAGCGCTTTAGTGTGTGTGTGTGTATTTTTTTATTATTAAAAAAACGAATTTTTTTGTTGCAGCGCGAAGGCACGGTGCACAGCCGTTTGTCACCAACCCTGGCTACCCTGGTACCAGTTCCACGCTACTCGCCTCTGCCCATGCAACATACCATGAGTTCGGAGGAGGTAGGTATTATAAGCCCACATCTTTTTATATATATATGTGTATATAATTTCCTGATATCATAGGCGTTTAAAATCCGGCAATTGTTTGGTCGAAGTATAAACGGGATCCCCCTTTTTCCCATATTCATCTTCGGTCACACCCTGTCACTGTGTCAACACGACGCCATTATCTCGACAGATGTTTGGCTCGAAAGGCAACTCTCCCCTTTTCACTAGGCGGAGTATTTATAGCAACACCCTCAATCCGCCAGGCGGGCACAAAGGTCGATAGTTGACCGTAAACAGATACCAACCATCAACGGCGATTTGCGAAAATTGTATTCTTTGCTTCGGTACCGACCGGGTTGTGTACATAGGACCGGGTGCCACGCCTTTGACAAATGGCCCGACGATAAGAAAGACAGACACGACGCCCTCTTGGCAAACATCGGTATATACTTCGCCCAAACACATTGGCCCCCCCCACGAATTATATATCGATTCGACTAATTTTTAAGGTGCTTATGGTACCAGGAAAATTTCTGATGCCTACGGTACGGGTGCTGTGAACGGACTTATGACACGGGTTCTTTATTCAGGCTGAATGTCCCCCGACGCAAATGGAACCAGTCGATCTTTCCGTCAACAAAAGCAGGTCGTCTGCGGATTCGTCTCCAGCCCCCTCTCCTCCGTCCTCTCCAGACACTGCCAGCTGCATCGATTTACGACTTAACAAAACCGCAGGTAGGTAAGGGCGCCATCTGGTGGCGGGTGCGCCAACTACGCGAGGGGGTGGATCGTGACGGGACGAGCGTCCCATTTGTCACGTTTCTTCGCGTGACGGGGGTGGAAATTCCTGGGCGTGCAATACCGTCGGCATTCGGTACCTTCACGACTAGTCATTTTCACGGGTAAGGCAATCACGACCGTTGGGTGACACGACACCCCCCGGCGGGTGGTGCGTTGGCACCGGAGATTTATGGCGTACGAGCGACGTCTAACCCCTTTTAACCAACCACTCGGCCCTGAGGAAAAACCGGTGAGTGGGTGAGGTGAGATCAACCACGATTCTCCACTCGTCTCTCGCATGGCCGCGTGACATGTGGACAACGTGCTTTATGACCGGCCACTCGTGTTTTAAGACGGGTTTATTGCGTTGTTAGCAATTAAAGTAGCGCCCAAAGGGCCGGTTTTTTGCCTCTAACCCGTACATGCAACCACATTCAAAGTTTTTTTTTCCCTCCCCTCTCCCCCTCCTCTCTTTAAATTCCCGTACAGGACGTAACGCTGTTACATGCTAGTGCGATTTCGGTGGTTATGATATTCAATTCGAATACGCGCTGACCTCCCTCGAGCATTTTATCAGTAATTTGATTTAGTGACTCTTGGATTACACGCGATAGAGCAGCATATATATATTTTTTTTCTTTCCTTTTAAATCCTCTCCCTTTAAAGCCTTGCTTATCTGTTCGAAAATTAAATATGATCGTGAGTTATTAGTTTCTTAACCCGGTCAGGGACACCGGGCAGAGAGTAGTTTTTCCTCTTTCGTTACAGCCCATGTTAAGTTGCAACCTTTTATAGTCCTGATACGGGGGTTTTCGAAGCTTCCTCTCCAGCACGATCCTATCTGAGCAATTCGGTTTTACCAATATTACTTAATAATAAAAGGGAGGGGGGAAAAAAAGATATATATAATGGCTTCGTAGTTTGCAAAAACCCATCAAGATACGCTAATGCCGCTTGGAGAGAAAATGGAGGAGGGAAAGAAGTAAACTACAAAGGGAAAAAAAACGGGTACTTCTGGGTTTATTTCGCTCTGTCACTTATCTCACGATACGCTTTGTTCCTGTCAAGATAACTAGACAGGTATTAGATCATCATTAATATCGAAAGTATTATAATTTCCCCGCCAATGAGGATTTTTTTCGCAATCAAAGAACCGGGTCTTTCAGGAGGACGAAAGTGGCATCTTATCAATTGCACTTTTTTTTAGTTCTGATATGGAATTACGTCGTGCAGTTACTTATTTTTTTTTGTATCCAGAGAGGCGTTACGGTAACGAATTGATTCTGCGCCCTCCTATATATCGAATTTCGAACGTTGCCAGGCGGACGTGCCTTGCACGGACCGGCCCAACTGGTGGTGCGTGTGTGACCCACCGGTTTTCACAGCGCGACACGATGTCCGCGGGGATTCTTCACCCTCGGGCTTTCTAGCAGTCGGTAAGTCACGGTTTCGGGGTCGGAGGTGTCGAGGTCGGGCTCCTCGAACTCCCCAGCGGGCTACCCCGCGTGTCGATGACCCGAAACGCCCCGAAGCAGGAAAGCCCAAAACAGGATTCGAGTGCCTTTTTTAGGCTCGGTGTAATGTCACGTTGGATTAAATTAATGGTGTGATTTATCCGCAACTTCAAGGCTTTCGGGAAAGATCTCCCCCAAAAAAATCGGGTTCTCCTTGATCTGGCATCCGAGCGGAGGGATTTCCTAAACTAAGACGGAAGCTATGTATAACAAGGACACCGGAGTTGGGGGTAATTCCCTTCTTGGAGAGTGCTTTTTCCTCTCTTTCTCTTTCTCGCTTGGCGGATGACATCCGCCCGAAATTGGCTCCATTCCAGATGGCAGTAAACGGCAATGGGCGGAGTGGAAAAACTAATTTGATGCTTTCGTTGGTAGCGATCTCTTACGCGATAACCCAATCCATTTCGGGTCGCCGTTCGACCACTAATGGGTTGCGTTGCGGCCGGCATCACCTCAACTTCGATCGTTATCTGAATGGGGCGTGTGTGACGTCCTCCATCTGTTGTTCTAATGCTCTAACCTCCATATCCGAAGATCGCAATGGCGTTCTCTTTTTGCCAGAAATCTCCCGCAATCCTCTCCGCTCGGGGGTTTTGTATTGCATAATGATAATGCTCGCTACCAACAGGAAGCTTCTACTCGGCGTTATTTATTCTTCTGTTCCTATTCATTCTGACAAAAAGCAGGAAGTGAACATCCTTCGAGAATTGCTACTTAAGTCGTGTTTGTATATCTGTGATTTAATATATATATATATACATACATCGATGTTATAGAAGGGTTTTTGCGTGCGTTCATTTGTTGCATAGCCCGAGGTTTCAAACTAATTTAAAACTTGCGACGGTTGCATCATCGATTAATTTTGCTGTCATTCTTGGCAACACGTGTTCTCTCTACGTGCTATTCTTTCTATCCTCCATTTTCTTACACTTTGCCGTGTTTTTACTTCTGTCGTCTCCTATCGTCTCTGTCACGTTTTTTTCTCTAATTTTTGCTGAATTTTTTTGACATTTTCCGTCTTTGTTCGTTAAGTATAAAAAAAAAAATTAAATTATAATCTATAAGATTATAATATAAGACCCAGCGATAGTTCATAAATTATTAAGACGTGCATTCCTCTGTACTTCTTTATTGTTACACTTTCTTTCCAGTGTTTTCCCGTGGCCTGGATTGCCTGCGATTTTCGCGTTTTAAAAGAATTAACATACCTGACATTGTATCCAGCAGCCATTTTGTTTCTTACCGTATTTACTTTGGCTGCAAATTTCCACGAATCCTGCAGTGAAATCTATTCTTTCTTTCGGCAAATCTTCATGAATTTCAATTATACTAGCATGTCATTTTCGAGTTCTGTTTTTCTTCTGGTTCCGCCGCCATCTTTTTTTTTTCTTCTCTTATTGATAAACTTATCTTACGTAATCTCTTGTATCTTGTCGGTATCTTCTACTTTGTCTTTGCTGTTTTTATTTCCTTAATTTACAACGTAAATAAAACGAATTGATCAATTAAAATGGCGTCCGTTATCGTATGCAGATGATCTAGAAGCGAAGAAAATTAGGGGGATGCAATTCGGTTGCACGTAGCAGTCGTGTGAACTGACACGGAAGAGAAATTATTCATTTTCAATTTCTGTCGCGTTACAATGTTTGAATGACGGAAGTAATTATTGTATTTTTTTTTTTTTTTGTCTTTGTTTAGATGGTATCTCGGACAGTAATAACAAGACGACAACCACAACCTTCCTGTCGTTGCAGAGGATAAAGGAAGCATCGCTGTAAGTAGCCATTTTTTTTTTTCTTTTGCATGATTAATTTCGGTAGCATCTAGCAGTAAATAGATGAGACGCCAGCTTACTGAAGTATACTATACTCGTATTAGGGACCCGATCGGGTGCCTCCGATCCGGTTGGAGAAGGACGAAGGTGGGGTCACGTCTGCGTCACGGTTGGGGTCAAGGAAGCCAACTCTCAATATCGTGCCAAAACGGATCCGGGTCTCGGACCTTCAACCGGTGGCATCTCCTCTGGTTTGGCTCGGAAGTGTGTGGCTTCATTATACAAAATGCGCGCGCCAGGAAAACACCTGACCCACTTCCTGTTGGCGGGAGACGGAGCCGCACCTCCGCGCTCGTTTTGTCCTACTTGGACTCCCCCGCATCATCGTAGTTGTTATGAAGTGATGTGGGTGTAGCGGTGCGAGTCGAGCCGTTTACTCCATCCGAATGGTTCCCACAGTTATAAATAACCTTCTCCTGTTGTAAGAGTACGGTACCATTCCTCCAATCACGACGTATAGAGTACATGATCGTTCTCCCCCCATTTTTTTTTTATCTGCCATTTTAATTAATGGCACTTGGCAGACCGGATCGGGATGATCTCCCGACCCTTTGCAATTATTAATTCCAGGATAGTGTGCCGCCATTTTTAATATATGTGGTGTATTTTTGATCTTGCAGAGCCATGAGTCAACAGTTACATCAGAGAGCGTCGTCTGCGGTCACTTCGGTCAACGGATCGCTCCATAATGGCATTATGGGACACGGAAGAGTTGCGGTCACCCAGTCACCATCTATGGTAGTGACATGTTCGGGTCTAACGAATGGTAACGCGGGACTGGTCAGCTGTAACTTATCACCTTCAGACGTATATTCGGACAGTCTGAGGAGGCGGAAAGTGCACAAGTGTGATTTCGAAGGCTGTGACAAGGTCTACACCAAGAGTTCTCACCTAAAAGCTCACAAGAGGACGCACACGGGTAAGCACCGTACGGTACCTCCCCGAAATTACGTAACTGGTTTATTCCTCTCGGTCTCACGCCTTTCGTGACTTTCCAATTGTCGCCAAAAAACATCGCGACGCCTTTGGCCAATACATCCGGTCCCGTTCGACCTATGAACCGACAAATTGAAATTCCTAATTTCTCCGTATCGCCAGCGGGCCCGACGCGAATCACGAACGAAATTTCGTCCGTGCAGCCTTCTCCCGGAAGTGACGGCCGCAAGAATCCCACCCTAATTTCAATCTCTTTTGTTTTGTATTTTTTTTTTTTACGGTAGATGGCGACACCGCGACCACCCCGCGCGATGTGTTATTATTCACGTTCTTTTGTTATCTGTTTTCAGGTGAAAAACCTTACACCTGCACGTGGGAGGGTTGCACCTGGAAATTCGCCCGGTCAGACGAACTGACCCGTCATTATCGGAAGCACACGGGTCAGAAACCGTTCAAGTGCCAGTTGTGTCAGCGTTCGTTTTCCCGTTCCGATCACCTGTCCCTGCACATGAAACGACACTAAAAAAAAAAAGGCGGCTGCCATGTTGAACGTAAGTACATTTCTGCAAATCGCATCCTCGTCCACCCACGGTTTCCTCTCTGACACACCCTCCTTTTTTTTTTTCCTCTTCCAGGTTTGAGTACATGTACATTCGACGTCTGGCCAACCACACGGTCAGTAGGCCTAGTAAAGTTTAACATGAAAAAGAAAACAACAACAATAATAATAATAACAACAACAAAAACAAAAAAAAAAATAAGACGATGCCGTGCATCCTGGCAGGAAAAGAAAACTCCACGACGGTGACTTCGGCCCACGATATGAGGCGTCGGGTCAGAGTTCAAACATATAAAAAAAATACACAAAAGGACAAAAAAGAAAAAAAAAGAAAGAACGACCCTGTCAACAGGGAAAGTTATCTTCGTCCCTTCAAATTGTTACTTCATCACCCCCGTTCTCCATGGGCTTCCTAAGACGAGATGCTACAGAAATGCATCTTAAAACACCCCCTTTTTTTTTTTTAAATGTTTTCTGTGGTTTAAAGTGTTTTTTGTATACGTTACCGACCGTTTCCCTCAAGAGCACGAGGGAAATTTCAGACCATTCGGCCAGTTTTACACGATTTTTCATCATTTATTATTATTATCATTATTATTATTATTATTATTTCTCCCCCGTCGTTACTCGCTAATTCCTTATTTTTGTATGGACGGAGGAATGTTTTAGGGGGGAACAAACAAACACACACACACACACACACACATACACAGACACGATACAAAGTATTCGGATCTCGTACTAGAACATCGTACAGAGAGGGATTGTTTACTGATACGCAAACGGGACGAGCCCTGTATAAATGGGGCCGAAATTTGAAGTCAGCGGGCCTGATTTATTTCGTTCTAGTACAATACATCCAATCGACGACGTCCCCCTCCTTTCCTCCATTTAATTACAAATGACGCAGGCTAGATAGCCTCATTATTATTATTATTATTATTATTATTATATTATTAATTATTATTATTTTTGATCGCGAGTATCGTATCGTTATTATTGATTATTGACGACAAATCGAAATGATGATGATGATTTAAAAACAAAAAATACAAATTCGATTAACGGCATCATTAACAAAGGCCAGTTTATTATTGTATTGTATAGTTTATATCTTCCCGAATTNTTTTTGATCGCGAGTATCGTATCGTTATTATTGATTATTGACGACAAATCGAAATGATGATGATGATTTAAAAACAAAAAATACAAATTCGATTAACGGCATCAATAACAAAGGCCAGTTTATTATTGTATTGTATAGTTTATATCTTCCCGAATTCCCCCGTAAACCCCCCCTATACCACAATGGTCCTCTTTACTACGGGACATTCCATCGTAATTTTTTTTTTTTTTGGACAATTTCCACACATGCGACGGTGAAACAAAATTTAAGTAAAGATTATATATATATTGAAGAAAAATATAGAGGATATCTTTCGGGATATACATGTGCCAACTACTACTATTACTACTACTATTACTACTACTATACTATATACTATACTATTACACAAAACACACGCAAGTACATACATTTTTACACGTTCTTGACGTATTGGTATCCCTCGGTGCCTTCATTATTTAAAGCAGTATTCAGAGTGGACATATATATATATATATTGCAGCGGGCATTATCGAATTCCCTCCCCCCTCTTTGTTTGTGTTTATTATTATATTTTCCATTGGTGTTAAAAAAAAACTGAACACCATGACGCAGGTCGCATCATCATCACCTAGTCCGCATCTTTTAGAAGGAAGGAAAAAAAAAATCGGGCATTAATAGATATCCAAAGTTCAAGAGACCCCCTCCATCTGACGACGGTTCCAATTGTTTTTTTTTTTTAATTATTATTATTTGGAACCAGAGGTACTAAATGGACGGTAGAAGACGAATAAGAAGAAGAATAAGAAAAACGCTCAAGCCCCCTTTTCGTGACTCCCGGCCCCCCACCCAGACTTGGCACATTCCCACGGATCACTGTTTTTTTTTGTGTGTGACAATTTTTGTATACGTCGCCAATCACTTTTTGGGGGGTTTGGTTGTTAGGTTTGACGTTCTCTCGCTCTCTCTCTCTCTCTCTTTCTCTTTCTCTCTCCCTTTTTTTTTTCTCTGTCTCACACAGGAGAAAATTTGAATGAGGAAAAAAAAAATTAAGTTATACACAACCTAGTATATATATTTTGTACTTCATGTAAAATATAAAGAAAATAAAAAAACACGTGATAAATATAATTTCTGGTATGGCCATTTTCTTCTTGTTTTAAGTCGTTCCAAAGTTTCTGCTGCTGAAGATCCCGGTTCGAATACCGAATACCGATTCGAATACCGAAAAATCGGCAATCCGTAGCGCGTTGAAGAGCTATTTTCTGAGTTTATTATTATTATTATTATTACCGAGAAAAACAAAAGTAACAATATTTAAAAGGTTAAATAAATAAATAAATCGAAAAATTCCTCATTGATTGATTTCAAATGACCCGTTGGTATATCGATCACTTGACTCTTATTGCAATTGTACTGTACTTATCGATTGTATTAGAAACCAGCGAATAACACAAAAAAATTACCACCCATCTGGCTAGGAAATAGGAAAAGTATTGTTAGAATTGATAATTCGGAATTAAAGATTCGGTAGGGTCGTACGGCGGTTCTTACACTTACGCGCAAAGAAACAGAGGAGTCCATTATTGACACATGACCGACGGAAATATCCGACTATTATAGATGAGAAAAAGTGTCTTCTATAGACAATAGACGGTAGGCGAAAGTGTTATGGTTGGTTGAATCACTTGATGTACGTTTAAAACAATGAAAAGTCTATTTAATTGATAGTTTATGATTCAAAATGACTAAGAAAAGAATAGCCGCCTAGTTTCTCAATTTCTGGTAATTCCAAGCATTGTTGGCCGTAGAAATCTGTGAGATAAGTAACGTTAACAATACAATTTATGTTAATTATTTTCAATATATTTTTTTAAGGCTTTCGAAATTCTGTATGGGAAGTAACAATAATATACTCTATTTAGATGGGCGGGATTTGAATTTTGTGGTTGTTTTTGGGCGATTTTTAAATGAACGTCATAAGGAATTTTTCAGCAAAATATCTGTTTTTTTTCGTATATTAATAATATAAATTTAAAATATTTTATAATTATTATGTATTTATGATAAATTTATAATACAAATTTATCTTTTCCTACAATAAATACGTATGTTCAATTGTTTAGTGCTTAGCAGTGCCATCTGTTCACGTTCTTCAAAACTACAAATTAATCGAAAACTCGTGTAAAAATATTAATTTGAAAAATTTCAAAAAAAGGGCTTTAAAAATAGTAAAATTTTTTGAGAAATGTTTTTAAAATAATAATAATAATAACAACATTTACTTAACATTAAAATATAATTATATTTTTTAATGTGGCGCCATCTGCTGTCAATAAAACGAGTGAAATTTTATTACGAATAATTATATTTACGATATTATTATTATTTTTTTCCAATATTATATAAAATTGAATAAATTAAATAATTTGTTTGAGTAAATTAAACTTAAATTCAGAGTTTAAATTTATTATTATTATTCATACTAAAAATTACTGCGTCAGTTCCTCATTAAATTCATAAAACGGAAAAGGATAGGTTACAATTTCCAGAAATGATATAGTGATTGGCAAAGTAAGTTTATCTTATATCAATATTATAGGTAAGATTTACTCCGTAATTCATGATTAAAATTAATCTTAATTTAAAAAAAAATATCTGATTATATTATTATTTTTTTTTAAATTTTAAACGTGTACTTTAAAAAAATTAATTTTTAACGATAGATGGCGACTGTATCTACGTAATTTAAATTTTGAAATATTTATTTATTTATTTATTTATTTTAAAAGAATTATTTTATATACATTTTTAACAATGAAAATTTATATTAAAAAATTTTAGGAAATTTTTTTTAAAAATGGCAACTTTTCAACCCGTTAGCGTTATGGGATTGCACGTTGCTCTAATCGGAACGATCATGTCAGTAGGAACTTTACATGTCCCTCCCGATAACGTTGTCGCCAAATGTCTTTTATCGGCTGGAATTGGTTTATTGATTGTCGGATTTTTAATTTTTATAATAGGATGCATCGCCTGGGCAATCGAAGCCAGTAAAGAATTTAGAAGAAAACGAAACTGTTCAGATGATTAATTATATATCGGTGTATTAATTATATAAAATAAATATTTAATTTGACATTAATTTGTTGTTTTTATTCATTCAAATGGACTAAATGGATTTTCTTAAATAAATAAAATTATAAAATAATATCAAATGACGTTATTATTATTTATTGTTAGATGGCGCTACAAGGAGAAAAGCGCTTACGGCGCCGTCTAGCATCTAGTACAAAGTTGATTGTATTATAAAATTTCGTCTTAAAAATAATAATTATTGATTTCTATTTGTTATAATAATCGAAAACACATTAATTTATTCAAATAATATATTAATTTGTATTGTATTATAGTACTTGCTTGCTAAAGCTGTTACTATTGATTGTTTGTCAAGATGGCCGCCTACCGCTCTGGGGGGACCCGGGATCGAATCCGGACGGGTCGAATAATTCCCAGGAATTTTTCGGGGATATGTCCGTCCAGATGTATTGCATCCCATCCCTTACCACCTGGCCGCCCCATTGTGGACCTGGCTGAAACCATAATGGGCTTGGTCATCTTAGTGCCCACAGGGTGGAAAGAGTTTAAAAAAATAGGGTTCTATAGGGTCCCTATAAAACGGGTTCATATAATACGGATTAGTATATAACGGCGAAAAAAATTGCGATCGTATTCGTATAAACAAGCTAAAAGAAACTCGTATAATACAGTAAACGTTGTCGCCGACTAGTGTCGCGACAGGATTGGTCGAATCTAGACCAATAGCGGATATTGCACAAACCGTTGAGTTTAAACGAGCAGCGGACCTACTAAAAACCATTTATTATTTAACGGCAATAAAAATGATATTTATATTAATGATGTCTCTAAACTTCAGCGAATTTTTTGCAGAAAAATAACTTATCAGGAAACACGCGCCCGCCGTTCGAAGCACCGCTCCACGACGAAAACAAGCTTAAGCAATGGCGTCGTCGAACGGTGCGCACTCGGTAAGTAATCCTACAATTTTTTGTTTATAGCATAGTTTATATGGATTATTCCCAAAAAAATTATACGTGTTTTGGAAATGTTGAGTCAAATTAGTTTAGAATCGATTAATTTTATGGAAGAAAACCTTTCAAACAGCCGTAGTCCATAAACTACATACGTGCCGGGCTGTGATTGGCTCATGTTTTTAAGTGATCGTAAAACACGAATTCATATAAAATTCATATAAAATGTACCGTATTATAGGGGGGTCTACTGTACAACAAAATTTAATTTCCAGGAATGCCGTTATTGTAATTAAATATAATCGAATTTTGTGCAACGTTTATTTGTTTCTTTACTTTTGTTATGCTACAGTACGTACACATACTGCTACAATTTATTTTTATCTGATAATTGCACAACTTATGAATAAGAGTTTAATTAATATTTCATCGATGCAACCTAAATCCGAATCATAAGCTAAATAATTATCGTTCTAAAATTATCATTGCTTAAAATTGATGATAATTTGTAAATTTGGCTTCAGAAAAGGTAACTTTAGTTCTAGAGAAGGTAGTTTTGACTTCAAATAAAATTATTCTCTGAAGTCAAAATTACGTTCTCTAATCAGTGTTTAGTGGTTATCCACACGGCCATTGGTGTGCTCCTGTTCAGACAATAATCTTTAAATATTCCCACAAATAAAAGTCCGACGGACCATGTTATTGCTCAATCCACCTTCCATTAAAGTGTCAGTTTACATAATATACTACAATTCGTGTATAATGAGCCCCGACACGTTTGATCTAACGTTGTGCTAGACGATTGAGGAAAGAAAATGACTTCGAGTTAACCAGGTTCCGCTGTTTATCGATACTACATGCTGATATCACTTGAATTGCGCCATCTAGAGAAATACATGTAGTATTTGCTGCTATTTGCAAATCACAAATATGGTCAGACAGCATTTTCTTAGAATACCTCCAGTGAGAAATTTTTGCAATTTAACTAAAAAATTAAATACTATATAAAACACATGCCGTGTCTAAAAGTGCGGTGAATGTTAGGAAATCTTGATTGAAACGCATGACATAAGGTCAGGCATGTGCTCACACATCCAGGAACACGTCTAGAAGCACCTTATAGCGTGGAATACGAGTGGCTGCAAGTGGGCTTCTGCAGCAGTTGTTCGAGCACAGTCTGTGTGGGAAGAAAGAAGCAATGAAACAACGTCACATGAAGTTCTGCATCAAATTGGGGAAAATGGCGACGGGAAACGCATAAAATCTTGTTCAAAGCAATCTTGCGCCTGGGGACTTGTTGTTGTTTCTTCGCATCAAAAAGTTCATTATGAGATCGCGGTTTGTCTCTGCGATTCAGGCTCGTGTGACAGCAGTTCTTAATTCTTTCCCATTGTGGGCACTAAGAGGGCCTCTTATAGCAAACCCATTATGGGTTGGATCATGCCCACAATGGAACGCGCCCCTTTGTGGGCATGGCTGAATCCATATTGTTCCTCACCAACAGGCCGCCCAGGCGGCCTGTTAATGAGGAACAATATGGATTCAGCAAGGAACCACATCCGTGGTCCAACATTTCCGAAGAATCGCAGCCCTAAAAATTCTTGATGAACTCGATTCTGGTCCCCCGGAGTGGTAGGCTGTCACCTTAATCGCTCGGCTATCCAGCCACCGGTTCAAAGTGTATCGGTATTTTCGCTGATGTGGTGGTGTGGCGGCTCGTAAAAGTTTAAACGCTCATAATATTGAGACACGAACGAGCGGGCCTGTTTTATGAGTGAGGGATGGAATTGTTCTGTTTAACAGTTTTGTCGCAAGATGGCGCGCGGAAAGCAACCGCCCTAATAAAATCACTTTTATTTCGTATACTGTTTTGGTCGGCGCCAGTTTTCATTTTTAAAAGTTATTATATTTCGTATAGAATCTCTCTGTCCTAGCGTTAGTACCGCTGTGGTGCAAGGTCCACTTTTTGGCATGCCAATCTCCACTTCTTTCGATCCAAGGCGTCCCCCTGGATGGACGAGATAAAGGAAGATATGCGGCTAGTGGGGTGACACCCACCAGCCGCATATCTTCCCTTATCCCGTCCATCCAGTGTGTCTTGGACCTCCCGCGGGGGCGCTGTCCAGCTGGGTTGAGATGGTGGCCATTTTTGCAACAGATTGTTCACTGCTTCTAACAACATGGCCATACCAGCATAGGCGGTTCTCACGCATTTTCTCGATAATTGGCGCCACTTCCATGATTTTGCGAATATCTGTATTCGCAAAATGGTCAAGTCGAGTGAGTCTTAATGACCAGCGAAGCATTTTCACTTCCATTCCATGAAGAGCTTGCTCATGCCTTGCAGTCGCCGACCTGCAGTCTGTCCCATACGACCATTGGTCGGACGATAGTCTTATAGATCTTCGATTTGAGTCGAATGGGCATTTTCCTGTCACAGAGGATTCCAGTGACCTGTCGCCATTTCAACCATGCCGCGTTGACTCGTGCTCGTGCATCAGGGAGAGTGTCTACATCAGACGTAAGCAAGGAGCCCAGGTATTTAATATGGGTGGTTTTTGGGAGTCTTTGCTACTGACATACGATTCTATATTTCGTATAGAATAATTTATATAATTGCAATATAATAAAAATCCTGAGATTGTTTTGTGATTTTATTTTTCTTTAGCGATATTGCATTTCTTCAATATCAGGTTGCCATACCTACAGTAATCGGCGTACAGAAAGTGAATCACGAGAAAGTGAATCCTGCTTTATCCAGGAGGGTCCGGGTTCGAGACACCCCGGATCCCAATTGATGGTGGTTAACTTCTAAATTCTCGGTTATAAATAAGACGGCTCCTTTTTAAAAGTATATCCTTCATGTTTATGGGTTTGGCAGGAACACAATTACGCTGGCGAACGACAATTCTTTTTTTTTTTTGTACCCTAAATATCGTATATTTTATTTTCATTCAACAGCAAAATACTTGTATTTTTAATTAATTAATATATAATTTCCGAGATGTGTCATTAAAACTGTAATCCTCAATGAAAACTTAATCATACATACAACTCTCCCTTTTAATAACTTCCTTGTAAGGATTTCTTCCATAGATGGACGCTCTAGAAGACTTTCAACGCCTGTTTCTAAACGTTCAAAACACCTCGAATAAAAGTTTTTATTTTAAAATTAATCTGTTTAGATTACAGAAAGTGAACATCAGAATGAATAATGGCTTCTATTCTTTAATAGTGCCACGCCTAAATCTAGCATGGAAACACGCTCTATCCTATCGGCATTCGGAACAATTTCTCATAATCCTATAAAAACAAAAAAAAAACCCTACAATTTATTGTTATTACGTTATTGGAATATACTTAAGGGTTCGATAACGTTTATTTTGATAGTGTCAACGACTCTAACAGGAAAGCTGATTCGTTACGCTTACGCGCGTTCCGTTTTGTATCATCACAGATGGCAATCTCGAGCGTGCATCGATATCATTAAAAACGTAAAATCTTAATTCAATAACAACTTAATTACTTAATTATTATTCTAATCGTCGACATTACACGAATAATTAATGAAGATCGAGCTCATAACAATCCAAAAAAAAAAAAAAAAGAAAAAATTCCTCAGCCGAAACGACATTAATTATCAAACTTGAAACAAATCAGAGCGCAAATGTGGACTTTCCGCGTCACTAAATAGAGATATTTTTATTTTTATTTAAGTAATAAATAAATATAGTAGTTAATACGCGCTTCTACGTATATAAATGCATTTTGTATTTTTTTTTTTTTTTTAAGCCTACGAAATTCATTATTGGCGTGACGTCACGACGATATCTATGACTCGAGCTAGGACTCGCCGATGTGTACCACGTGTTGCAGCACATCCTGCGAGTTGTCCTTTGTTACAGGATATCTACACCCCTTCGTACGAGTGGGTGGAATTAGTCGGCTATAAATCATCGTAAAGGATCTTAGAGGAAGCATTCCGGTTGCATTTCTATCGAAACGCAAGTCAAACGTTGGGTGAGTTTGCATCTTGTCACCTCTACCGTACACTTTAAACAGAAATGTCAGCTGTCAATACTTGTCTACCGTAATTAATTTCCCCAACGTAATAAATGTATCTTTTAGCTTTTAATATTCATCTAAGAGTATTATCCTTTTTTAATTCTTACCTTTTGTGTTTATTTAAGCATTCGCCGAAGTAAATCTCCATAAATACGTGTACCGTGTCTCTGGTTTTATTCCCACATCTAAGGATTAATCCCTACAAACCTCGAATTTAAAATGCCATCTAGGGATTTTTCCCCGCAAGACTAGAAATGAAATCCTTGCATTGTTTACAGCTATTATAATAGCGATATAATTTATATATATTATACATACATACAGACAGATCGATCTGTAAAGTATGATCATATTGATTCGAAAATTGCATGTGATGCATGACTCGTTCGATACGGGGAAAAAACACTAACGATCGTATAAACAATCGGTAAAAAGTTCCGTAAGTAACGAATCGCCTTTTGAATATAAAATCGCGACGCGTCGCTGCGGCGCGATCATGACGGTTGAAAAGACGGTTCGTCCCTATTACTTTTTATTGTAAAAAAATTGAAAATTGAATTTTTTTTTTATAAATGATGTGTAGTATTTTGTATTCAATTAATCACTTGACTCTTCGATTACAATTTGCATCTTTTAAATCATTTTAATTCCGAAAAGTGCATACGAATAGAATTTCCCTCAACTCTACTACACATAGGAAAATAATTACAGTTCCAAATTATTCAGATAAAAATGTTTAAAAAAAAAAATTAAATAATTATCCAGTAAACGTCATTTTTCTCAATGTCCAGGTCTTAGATAAACATCAGTCTTCAGGGACACTGAAGAAGATAAGAGCTTTTTTAAAAGATGAATAATTCAATCAACGTTGGTTTTTAATAAGTTTTATGTTACTCTAATGTCATTTTTAGAATTTAGAAGATTGAAAATCTTGCTTCCAACAGATTTAACAAAAGATAAAATACCTTAAAGGTTATTCACATACCTTAAAATATACCTTTTTAACATTTGATTTGTATTCTTGTAAATGTTCATTATTTTTCAAAGACTGGAAAATTTTAAAGTATTTCTAGAAATTTCAATGCAAATTTAAAAAAAAATAATAATAATTTATGTTTTCAATTTATTTTTAAGCGTGTCAGCTTGCCCAAGATAATATGGGCAGAGTACAGTACAGTACATTCATGAGGAATCATGGCGAATTCCACATTGAAGGCCATCGATATTTGTCCGTTTGCATCATTGTAAATGCATGAAAATGATGCCAATTCGCAGAAAAATACATTTAATTATCTAAATTACTGTTTAAACGAAATGTTTCTAGTTAAAAATTAAGTATTTAACATAAATTAATGTTAATTATAGTAATACCAGTGCCGGTACTGAAAGAGTAAACTGTAGTTTTGGTGAGGAAAGAAATAATGAATTCTCGTTTAACAATCAAGAAATATTCTTTTGATGAATGTCTTTGGTGATATGGGAGCTTAATGATGCGTGTCTAGCGCGTGTCTATACGCTATTTGCATGCTTGCACCGTTCGCAAATGCTGTCACGCATTAAAGGGGTGGAGATGAGATAATTTGTGATGCTGGTAGAGAGTTACGCGTGCAGAGAATGGCTTATAATAAGAATGCAACCGTGAATATCTTAGAAAATTAAATGTATCTTTTCGGTTATATTTGGTTTCGTGTTTTTAATGTATTAAAAATCTTGCGAAACTGGTTTTATAAATGAATCGTTATAAAAGAATGCTGCAGCGATTTTTTATTTTTATTGTGGTTTTTTTTTCATTTAGAAAGCGAATTTGAAAAATGTCCTGCAAAATGTGGATTTTGATATTTTATAAAATTGTAAAAATCCTTTTTTTTTTCCTTTCTGTATTTTTTCTTTGGTAGCATGTTTCTTCGTCGCTCGAAGCTTCGAGGCATTCTTTTTAATGTATTTATTATTATTTCGAGTGTATCTTGTAAATTATTTTTTCTTTATTTTTGTTGTTTTTCTATAAAAACGCATCATTTTTTTTTTTTAATTTTTCTTGCAGCCTCTTTGAAGTGTTCATTCCCAGTCTGACAAAATTAAAGTACTTTTTAGTAATCCATTTGAGTTCTTAGAAATTTTTAATAACTATTTTCTGCTAGCAAAAATTACACTTAAGCTCATTGAATTGATACGGATTATTGCATATTTTAAATTGAAATAGCTTAAACTATGGGCAGAGGGGGCAAAAGTGCACTTGTCCACTAGGATCGAGTAAAAAAAAAAATCCATAAAAGTGAGATATGTAATCTCACACCTGATGTAATACCAAATTAAATAATTAAATAAAAATTTATTGATGCAATCATTTGTCTCCAAGCTTTGCCTACTGGAAAATTTCCTATAGATAGTAAAAGTACATTGTTTAGGGCATGAGTGTTTTTAAATTCTTAAATAATTTAAGCATTGTTCTTCCTCGTATCTATTATAAATATTTGAAAAAATGAAAGAAAATTTGCACCGAATTCCCCCCGCTTTACGACCGATCAATTTACAATCCTTTATTTATTATTTTTGTTAGATGAAATTCCGTATTTAAACGGTATATTTTCCGTCCTATCTCTTTATGGTATTATACAGTACTGTACATATATAATTTAAAATTTCAAGAACGTAATCCCAATTTGTTACACAACTTATGAGGAATGTGATTTACTTTACGACTTCCGCAGGAATAGTTAATTCGTAAGAGTGGAGTGGGCTGTACTTTACTGATCTCGCCATTATATAGAATATAACACTGGGAAGTATGATGATCGGTCAAATTTTGCCCCCCCCCCAGTTGCATTTCTCTACGGTTTGACACCCCGGGAGTCCAAAAAATGTAAAAGAAACCCTTCAAAATTCTGTGTTTAGACGTGCATTTTGCATTATATCTCAGGACTGGGTGAACCAAAATCTTTGAATTTTGGCAGGGTTATTTCTATATATGTGACATTGATGCTATTAAATTTTGGTAGTTAAAGGTCAAGGGGGTGGGGAGATAGAGGGACAAATCCCTCGTAATAGCATCGCAAACTTCTCCGTGCCGAACGATAAACCGCAAGTAATTGGTTGGCACCCGACTGTCGACTGCCTGTTGACCATTCAGTGGGCTACACATATTTTAGGTATGACGTCAGAAAGGTTCGAGCACGTGCTTTGAAATCTTGTTCCCCTTTCGAGTTTATCTTGTTTACACTTTCTAAAATTGAATTCATTTTCTGAAATTCCCGAGAATAAATTAAATGCCGATAAATTGTGAGATTACGAAGCAGTTACCTGGCAATCTGGTTAGAAGCTGGAAAGGCTTTTAGATCGATATAATGTATAGAGAGATTCGTCATGCCGGCGAGAATTTCGCTAAATTTTCGAGATAAAGGAAAGTGGAAGTTATTAAATAAACTAGAAAAAATTCGTACGGGAAGAGCTAATTGATAGTGGAAGTTTTGGATATATTTTATTCTCGTAGTTTATGGATTATTCGCCTCTAGTTTTAACGTGTTCTTCGTAAATACGGGAAAATTTCGATGGTGGAGATGCTTTAAAACACTTCAGACTCGTAAATTAATCAAACTGTAAACGAAAACTGCAAGAAAAATCAAAGGAGAAGAAAAAAATAAAGCTTTCAGGTTGTAATTTGTCTGGTCGATGCGATGCGCCGCGGCGACGCGACGCGACGCCTGCGAAACCGGTTGTACACTCAAATGGCGATACGGATTACGGAAAATATTTCCCCCCTCCTTTTTTCACTTAAATGAATTATGGATTCGTATTTCGAATCGAATAATCGCACTTATTAAATTTTCTATCCTTAGAATGAAATGAAAATTTTAATAAAATTTGAATATGATAATCATCTAGAATCAATGGATATTTAAATTATAAATCATCATGAATAGTTAAAAATAAATTTTCAGATTAAACGGAAATTATTCAGTGGTTTGATTAATTAGATGTATTTGCAGATGTTAGATGTGTATTGGTATAGTACAGTTTGTTCTCAATCAGTTCTGCAGCCAGGAATAAATCATATAGGAGCAATTGCTCCTATATGATTTATTATGATTAATATTTAGCCCTTTTCCAGACAGTCTTAGGTCTGTTAGCTATAGTTCAAGTGTAAAAAGAAGTAACAGTAGCCTAAGTTTACATGATGAAAGCAAAACCATGTATTATATGTACTGCATATGTGCACTACAGACTAAGCCAAGGGAGCTTAGCAACCTTGTAACTCCCCCCCCCGTAGCTAGGGATCTGTTTTCAATGGGATGCCGCGGCACGCTAGTAGGGTACCGCAACGACGCTTCGGCGGCATTCCAAGATGTGGCCGAGTGGCGTCGTAACACTTCTAAGGAGTCATCCATAAATGACATCCACGATGGAAAGAGGAGAGAGGGTTACGAGAAGTTGGACAAAGGGGGTTGAACTTCAATGGATGTCCATTTTATTTCATTAAATGTGGTTTATCACTTTACGAATAATAAAATAAGGGGGTTGAGTTTTGTCAGATGTCCGAAGAGGAGAGAGGTTATGGAAACTTGGACAATCTAGGACAATGGGAGGACGAGGAGTGACATTTTCAAGGAAAATGCAGATGTAATTTATAATTAATTGGCTTTTAATGTCTATTACAAAAAGTACAATAACTCTACATATGATAAACCAGGGGTGCTACAAGTAAAAAATTTACAAAGATGGGGGTGCAACTATCAGAAAAAGGTTGAAAAACACTGGTATAGTAGATAAAATTACCCAATAGCTGCTTATAGGTTTTATATTCATTCATTCCCACTTTGTCTACAAACCTCGAAACTGTATCACAGTTTCGAGGTTTGTAGACAAAGTGGGTGGAACTGGGTGGAATTTTAGTATTATTCTATTATCTAATCAGATTAAAGGTTGAAAATAAGATAAAGTTGTTCATTGTCTTGATAATTATCGTAAAATTATCTTGCTAAAGAAACGTTTGCTACTTCGTACAAGTCTCTCGCCAAATTAAAACCTTCGGCAAAATCGCGTTTTTGAATCTAGATTTCAAGATACGAATCTAACGAGAAACGCTTAAACCTTTTCTTTATTTTTATTGGTTTAGGAGTGAATTATGTGGAGGTTTAAGCCATCTAAATACAAGAATGCAGCTCCTAAAGTTCCAAAAAAAGGAGAGGTAAAATTATTGTATAAGATATTTTTAAGTGTTTTTTATTGTATTTTGTTTAATTTGGATTGACATTTAAGGGATGGATACTCGACTTACCTGTCGGAGACCCCCGATCGTTTGGAAATCACATCAAAGCCAGTGCGGGATTTATGGTATTCAATGTGGAATTAGGTAAAAAATGTTTGTTACCTTGATAAAAAAGGGATAATTTCTTACTAAAAACATTATATTTTTATTTGTTTTGGTGTTTTGATTATTTTCAGGTGAAGGCAATTTAGGAATTTTATCAATTAATGAAACTGGAAAGAAAAATAAACCACCTCTGCTCCATGCACATTCGGGTGAGGAAAAATGTTTTTTGGCAATGTTTCTTTTATAATTGACACCTGCAGATCCAAACTGCGGTTCCAGCAGTATGTAATTTGTAGGGGATTGGGATCTGTTTTATTTAATTCTGAACAAAATCTTAATTTTAATTATATATATAGAACTGTTTTGGTAAATTATTATTGTTCTTATTAGTTTTTAAAACAATTAAGAAAACATTAACTCTTTTGGAACTTTTAAAATCAAATTCAAAACTAAATTCTAATTATTAATCTTTATAACCAATTTGACATTTTGTTAAGTTAATACACAATGCAACATTTTGAACAATGAACCCCATTTAATTATTCTTTCAGGACCAGTAACAGATTTCGATTTCTCTCCTTTTGATGATGGTTTATTAGCGACTTGTTCGGAAGACTCAAATGTACGTTTTAATTCTGTTTGCATTGATGCTTTACCAAATGTAAATTCAACTTATAAACTCCTCTTCAGGTAAAAGTGTGGCAGATTCCCGAAAGTGGCCAAATCCCTCGTAATAGCATCGCAAACTTCTCCGTGCCGAACGATAAACCGCAAGTAATCGGTTGGCACCCGACTGTCGACTGCCTGTTGACCACGTCGGCCGATAAATCTCTCAAAATTTGGGACGTAACTAAGCAAGAACAGTTATATAGTGAGTTATCCACGAGAGAATAATTAAATTAAGATAACTTTAGCTAAATTTACATAACTCTTTACAGGTAACTGTAGCCACAAAGATTTAATTCACTCGTTTACTTGGAAAAGTGACGGAAGTTCCATTATCAGTTCTGGAAAGGATTGCCTGCTTCAGATATGGGATCCGAGATGCTCCGAATCAGTTTCGGTTAGTTCGTTACCAATCGATTTTAATGTTTAATCAAAATAATAATTAATATGTTAGATTTTGTCTTCAGGAAACAAAAGGACACTTGAATAATCGCGATTCTAGAGTCATCTGGCTCGGAGATACCGAGTATGTTCTGTCGACGGGATTTGGAAGTGTAAGTAAGTGTAAAGAAACACCGCAATATAATTTTTTCGAACTTTTAATATAAGACAAATGATGTTCATCGTAAATTATTAGGCAAAAAATGTAGAAGTAGTCATAAGAGACGTCAGAAACTTTGACAAGATTTTGGCTAAATCTGGATTCGATCTATCCTTGAAGTACGTATGCTCGTTATAAAATTATTTATTCAGATTTTAGAAATGAATTATAAAATTTTGTCTTTAATACAGCATTTTTGTTCCACTTTTTGATCCCGATACAAATATGTTATTCTTGGCAGCAAAGGTAAGTTAAACTTTTGTCACGGTATTAATATTTCAAGATTGTAAAGTATAATTAATTTATGTATTCAGGCAGAAACAGTAGTTCATTATTGGGAAGTTGTGTACAGAGAACCGTATTTTGTCGAAGGTAAATTGATTTTATTGAATGTTTGAATTTTATTGTAAATTCTTAAAATTGTTAAAATTTTATTTTAAAAATAACGTATGCAAAGCCATATATAAAGTTTATTCAGCACTTAACACACCGAAGATGAGGTACATACGTGTCCATGCAATTAAAATCGTAAACTCTTGCTTCGGTTCTTTAAAGAACACTTTAACTGATGGAAGAGTGCAGGATAGGTCTTGCCAACAAAAAAAGAGAGACTATGCCTCATCTTCTATGTATTTGGGATTAGAAATCAAATTAATAACTAATTTCAAAATCGTGTTCTACATCTAGAACTTTACTCTTCAAGCTAAAGGAATTCGTTTAATCAATTGCATCTCCATTTGAATAATGTTCCCAAAATATTCTGAAAGTGCATCTTTGAAACAGACTTTGGAGAACAGAAGACATTTCAATTTGAATTGAAATGTCTTCTGTTCTCCATTCAAAGTCTGTTTTAAACTCATTATGACTTATAAATTTTCCTCTCTTTACATCGGATCACATTGCCCAGATGTCCCCATTGTGGACCAGGTAATGTGGGATAGGCATTAAGATTTCTTCTGGTGTTACTCGCACAGATTAGATCCCAATTCTCCAGAGCAGTAGGCTCATACTTTAAGCAATTATACACAAATTTATAGTTAGTATACAACCTTTTTTTTCTCTTTACAAGAGTGGAGTGAAGAAAATTATGCAACATTTTATTTATAGAATATAAATTTAAGCTTGCAGCAAAATTTAATTGTGATATTCCATATTTATCTTGGTTTTTTTTTTCTTTCTTTCTTTTCAAATATTGAAAATGGCCCATCGTCCATGCCAGCTTGACCCATTGCAGTCAAGCCCACCCGAGCATAACTGTGACGGGCCACGTAACCTTAATACATTAGAGCATTGCATTAACTAATCAATCACTCGCAACAACTTTGAAATTTGGGTCAGTCAAAAGATGCGATTCGTTTTGTAGGTTAGGCACGATGGTGTTATGTTTAATTGTCGAGCCAGTTTTTGAACTCTGTGGAAAACATTCGCAAACTGCCACTGGAGTATGGGTCAAGTTTAGATTGGTTCAAATTTTCCTGGGCGGATTGATCCCCAATATGTTTGGTCCCATCCCTCGCCATTCAAATGCTCCCATTGCCAGCTTAGCCAAAACCACAATGGCACACAAAAAGGTATTCTTAATGCCCCCAAAGGGTAGAGTTTAAAAACAAAAAATTTTGAAGATGGCAGCTACATTTGTCATCATTCTTTGTTGTACTAGAATTAAAAATAAGTTCTTATTTGACGTAAAGCTTATATAATGCTAGGATTACCATAATAGTTGATGGGAAAATACAGACAGATTAGCATTAAAGTACTTGGACAGTAAGGCAAAATAAAGGAAATTTATTCATAATTTTCAATCTAATAAATGTAGGCACATATATAAAGTTTCAATTTAATTTCCTTTGGGGCACAGAATGCAATTTTAAATATAAAAAAGCTATTTTACCACTTAGACAACAAGTACGGTCGAATTAAAAGAAACTGTTATAATGAATGTGTGCACGTTCTCTAAGCAATAGAGATGTTACATTTGCTTATACAGCGTTGCCACCTAGCCAACAAATACAATATCATCAAAAATTTAGCACCTTTTGACAGATTTAAATCTAAGTGGTTACAATTTAACTATTAACTTTGCGATCAGTTGAAAAGTGTGGACATTTTGTCTATTTTTTCTAAGTTATGGTCTTTAAAGTATGGACTGCCCATACTAAATACAAACGTATGGCAACCCTAACAATGCAATATAAATGTGTGGGAACCTTTTTGACATTTGACCTTAAAGATAATTGCATTTTTTTTTTAATTTAAATATTTGATCTAGTCTATTTTATAATTATACCAGCTGTGTGTACCTGGCATTGCTCTGGATTTTGAGGGGGTGAGGGAGGGATTGGTGAGGTCAAGTTGGGAAAGGGTGATTTAAAAACAATGACCTTAGTAACTAAAATGTACATTTATTGACCCGAATATTTACAATAATGAAACTGCTCGGGTTAAAGTTAAGAGGGAGTGGTCGGAAGTGGGGACTCCACATGCTAAGGTGTTCTAGGATTTCAAAGAATATTTGTGCCAAATTTGGTGAGGATATGTTGAACAGTATACAACCCTTTTCATATATGTGCATGTCAATGTCAAAATATGTAAGTTTTTTATGAAGTTATAAGAAAATTATAATTGCTGAAGTTAGAATTTAGTCGATAGGCAGTCAGTGGTGAAGGCATCAGCCTCCACTCCTGCTCAGATTCAGTTCTAGGTTGGAATCTTTAATTGTTACAGTTGGTTTAACTGGCTATGTCAGATCCAATCTCTTACTACTTAGCCATCCCCATTGTGAGCCTGACCAAACTACAGCAGAGATAAAGATTCCCTTAATGGCTACATGATATAGTTAAAAAACTTGCCGGTGTTCTTTTTATGGTATATTTTACACACATTTCTTTCCATGTCATAACTAATAAAAGCAATGAAAGTAATATCCCATTGATGAAAGGTTTAATCTCGCATACTTGGGTATTTTATTACGATTTTATAAAGGAATACTTTCCACTTTATCTTGTATTTTGATTTGTGGAATATACTTGCTATTGAATGTGGTATCAAATACATGGGTGATTAAAAAAAGAAGAGCGTTTACAAGGTCAATAATTCAGAAAATACTTTTATTGTGGAAATGAAAACGTATCAGATGTATTTGCAAGCAATATGCTATTTCTTGATAAAACTTCCCGTCCTTTTCAGGCATTTATTGCAACATTTAAAAAGCTTGTTTATTCTGTCTGCAAAAATTTCTCTGTTGCTACAGCTATCCACAAGCAATGTAATGAATGTATAGTTCCATATTGTGGCAGAGTTGAAAGGCATAGCAATGTGTCTGTTGTGTATTGCTGCTTTGTGTCTTCTCAAGGCCTTGCGCTGGCTTCATTAGTTTGTCGATTATTGTGGCATTGACTTTCGTCATCAAGCAGCTTGAATGCCACCATAGCTTTTGTCACTGGCAGACTGGCATTTTTCTTGTCCTCCTTTTGAACCTCTGACATTATTCTGTGACACTGACAGAACAACATTGTCCCCATATGCCTCAACAAGCTGATCCACCAAAACGTTTTTGCTCTCAAAAATCAAATAACTTGGTCTTTGAGACTGGTTTTCTAATCTTGTAGCATCTTCAGAAGTTGTCGCAATTGTCCCACACTCATACATTGTTCAGAGTTGTTAATCTGAGTTGTTACTACCTACCTGCATTGGAGTTACATTCAACGGTATTTTTTTTTTTTCCACTTACAGCTGGCCTTGTAAAGTTACTTTTCGATCATTCTGTGTATCTTAGTTTTCATTAAATTTGATATCTGTCCAATCCATTTCTTGTATATAATTTCGATCAATGAATTTTAACATTTCAGCTACAAAGCACATTGGTGACATCCAAACCAAAGGAATAGCTTTGGTACCGAAGAGAGCATTGAATGTCATGCAAGCGGAGGTAAATCGCATTATGTTGTTGGGACAGGATTGCATTGTTCCGATCTCTTATCAAGTCCCACGCAAAGTAAGTTTCCTTTCGTAATTACTGTACTAATTCTGTAATGTGTAAAACTTGCAATTAGATTTATTACACAACTTTTAGTCTTATAGAGAATATCACTCTGATCTGTATCCTGATACGAAAGGCACAGAACCGGCATTGCACGTTGACGACTGGTCTAAAGGAGATACAAAGAAGGTTTGTAGTGATCAATGCTAGCTCACATCACTTTTGATAATTCTGTAAACTAAAATAATTAAGTTTTTGTAACCTTTAACTATGCCTTTTCGCTTGTTTGTTGCCATATATATATATATATATACATACATACACACACATGCATTCGTCACATTTTTAGGTCGGTACAGTCAGCTTAAATCCACAAAAGTCTCTTGGCCGCAAGTTATTAAAGTTCGGCCATAAATTTCAAACTTGTGAAGAGAAATCTGAGAGAAAAAACAGCATAGAGTCTGCTCCGTTTAAACCTCCATCCGACGAAACCATAGAAACAAAAATCTCCGAAAAGTGCGATTTCACTTCCAGTTTCAACGTCTTTAAAAAAATAGAAAGCGAAGAAATTCCATATAATAGTTTGATGGAAAAATCGTCCTCAAACGTTGCAAAAGTTAGTTATCTACAAATATTACATCCTATTGCTTTTTTTTAAAGATATATAAAATTAAAGAATTGTCAAAAGTTAAATACAAACAATTATTTTTAGCCAACCGTTCCACCCAAACCGCCGAGGCACAGCAAAACGTCCGTAGAATCGCAAGTCAGAGACTTTGAATACCAGAATAAAGTAAAAAACGTTCAGGTAGTAATTGAAGAGAAACCTCGCGATTCCGGAAGTGCAAATATAATATTGGAAGACATTATAGAAAAGATGAACAACTTAGAAATGCAGCAAAAGAAAACAAATAGTCAACTGGTGGCTTCTCCCACGCCACAGAGGAATACGCGCACGTTTGGAGGTAATTTTCCTAGTTCGATTGGCATTGATTTATTCGCATTACCGAACTTTTAATATATTTTTAGTGAGGACTACAAAATTCCGTCATCTCAATGGTACGATTCTTCATAAAAACACACACATCACAAACATTACTAACTACAACAAGAATTTGTCTGGAGAGTGCGACGTCTTTCATGCTAATCCAAGTAGAGTTGCGCTTCCTTTGAATATCGCAGGTGGTCATATTGCCATATTGGAGGTAAGTTTTCTCGTTCAATGGATTTAAAAATACCGAAAGCCATTTCTTGATGTATTTCTTTACAGCTTAGCAAACCGGGACGTCTGTCTACGGGCAAACTACCGAGCATCGTGTGTGGCAGTAACATTGCGGATTTCGCTTGGGATCCATTCAACGATTGTAGGCTCGTTATTGGTGAGTATATAAATATGCAAATAAAGTTTTTTTTTTTTTTAATTTTTGGATAACGTAAGTTGGGTCATTTTAATTTAAATAGCTTCGGATAGTGGAAAAATTTTCGTGTGCCTCATTCCCGAAGAAGGTCTCGAAGGCGAAACGTCCCCGGACGAGGAATTCATTGCAGGCAATGATAAAATTTCAATAGTAAAATTCCACCCCGTTGCCAGAGACGTCATAATAACGGCATCCTACGATTTTAGCATTAAAGTATGGGATCTTATCACTAAAAACGTTTATATAACTTTGCAAGGACACACAGATCAGGTATTGACAAAACAATTTGTTTTCCGGTTTTGTCAAATTTAATTATAAGTAATTTTTACACGTTCAATTTTTAAGGTGTTTACTTTGGCGTGGAGTCAAGATGGCCAATATTTGGCAACAGTTTGCAAAGATCAAAAATTAAGAATATATAATCCGAGAAAGTCTTGTACGCCGATTAAGGAAGGCCCGGGACCCAGCGGAAAAAGAGGCGCAAGGGTAACATGGGTGCTAGGAGGGTCTCATCTAGTAGTATGTGGTTTCAGCAAGTAAGTCTGTCTTTTGTGAGAATTACAACAAAAAATCTAATGTTAAATATATATTAAAACTGACTAAATTTGTTTACAGAGTTTCGGAAAGACAGATCATGTTGTATAGTAAAGACGATCTTTCGGAACCACTAGCAACCGAAGGTATCAATGTAAATCCTTCCATCCTCGTTCCGTTTTATGACGAAAGTAGTTCCACGTTATTCTTAACTGGAAAGGTAATCGCTACTTGGCTTATAAAATTGTAAATTAGTGTAGATACTAATAAGACACTAACTTTAATTAGGGAGAATCTGTTATATTTGCTTACGAAGTCTCAACGGAGGGATCGCATTTCTATCCGCTGTCTCACTACAAATGTAGTGGACCGCATCAGGCTGTATCTTTCTTACCAAAATATGTTTGCAATGTAGCAGAAGTAGAATTTGCAAGAGCTGTCAGACTGACTAACACTACAATAGAACCCTTATCTTTTACTGTTCCTCGGCTCAGAGTAAGTTCTGCATACTCCATCGTCACGCAAAGGACAAAAAATTAATACATGATGATCGGTTTATTTGGTACAAAAATGATATATTTTCAGACAGAATATTTCCAAGACGATCTGTTTCCAGACGTACAGGTCACGTGGGAAGCCGCAATGTCCAGTCAGGATTGGTTTTCAGGTGCAAACATTAAACCTAAATTCATTAGTTTGAAACCAGAAGGGATGCTGCCTTGTAAGTAAATTACTAAATCAGTGTTTTTTTTTTTTTTCTTCTCTTGTTTTCAAAGATGCTCATTAGTTAATATCGTATGCAGTATCCGAAGCCACCCAGAAACCTACAGTTTCGCCCGTTTCTGCCCCTCAAGAAGAAATAATCCAGTTCGAAGGACATGCGGTATTAGAGAGTTCTTTGGCATTCTTAACAGGAAATAAAGAAAAGGAAGAACAAGTAAGAGCACACTAATAAAATTTTATCTTCTACAATGTATTTTTCTTCAAGTTATCATAACATTACATGTTCTACAAGTCAGCTGTTTTCTATTCTTTTCAAGTTCATTTGCATACTAGTGATAAATGTTAAAATTTAAAGCTAAGTAATTTTGCTATATTGGTCTCGGTTGTACTTAATGATGTACAAAAATTTCTTTGTATACAAAGCAATATTTTGATAAATTTTAGCAGTATTACTCTTTATCAGTGTGTCACCAATGATGCTGATTTTTGAACAGTTCTGAGAAATTACATCACTACTTAAAGAATCAATGCTTAATTTGGAATACCCAATGATGGACCAGATGGCAGAGGTAATTAAGATGTCGGCTTTCTGCTTTGAAAACCTGCAATCAAATGAGGGCGAGCAGTACCGGAATTTTTCGGACGGTGGTCCGTCCTGGATATGTCGGGTCCGTCTTTTGCTATCTGACCCAGAGAAAAGGCTCTCTCAATGCCCACGGGACAGAAAGAGCTGAAAAGAATAAGTCCAATAATGGAAAGGCGATTTCCCCCTACAAAAAATTTGGGAAATTATAGATATGAACACTGGTAGTCAGTTGCAGGTTTGCATCCGACCGATGGGCTGGCCTCAGGAAGCTTTCCGCGTGACTAATACCTAAATAGGGACTATTTTTCCATAGAAAATTCCATTTTCACAAATTTGACAAATCCATCAGCTTTGGCCTTGTACATCATTGCAGTTTCGTGTTGGTGACAATATGTATATAATATTAACTTTTTGGAAAGAATTTTACTGTCTTGCTAAATGACCTTTTTCTCTTTAGATAATAAGTTCAATGAAAGATAAAATGAATTATCAAGATGAGAAATTACCCCAAGATTCGTTCGAGGGCGTCGATCCCGACGAATGGGTAAGTAATTATTCGAAGACGTTTCAAAGATGATCGAATTAATGATTATCGTTTCCTACTTTTTCTTCAAGGATGAAGATAATTAGACGTTCGAGTAAAATAATGATAAAACCATTGTACATATCTGATAAATGGTACAAGTTAAAATATTAATAATGCTCATTCGTTTTATGAAAACGGCATTCCGTTATATTACTCGTAACAAGATTCGAATGGTGCCATGATCATCGTCGACGTATAAGTTTACTGAATTTTCGGATATTTTATCGTCATGCAAATGCAATTTCCGCACTATGCTCCTCATCCACTTGTTGTAATGCCATATATTTACAGTAATTATTACTGTATATGTTAATTGTAAGTTAAAAAAAAATATATTGTTGATTAACATAAAAGATTCATATTTATACATTTATACTTTTTCTAATATTAAAAGATTTTTTACAAAAATGAAAAAAATGTAGAATAAATAAGCATGAAAATTTTTGTGCCAAATTTTTTTACTGGTTATTATTTTTTTTTAATGGGAATAATTTTTTAATTTTTGTTTTGATATTATACTGGTAAAAACTCTATACATTAAAAAGGAAGGTGCTCAAACTCGAACCAAACTTTAGCTAATGTATTAGCTGTCGAACGGCTGTTTGGCTCTTCAGATTTTATCAATTTCTTCTTCAAGATAACTAGCGAAAGTTGACAAAATCTGAAAACAGTTTCCTAATGGAGCACTCGCATAGAGCATTTAAATCAATTTAATCTACCATTTTTTCCATTAAATTAAATAAAAATACAATTGAATTCAATTTCTCGTCCTTGCCGGTCAAAATTAGCAGAGGTTGGGACAATTTCAATATCGAGTGGCCATAAGGACCATAGTGCTATGATGCCTTATAAAAATGTTTCAAACTCGTCTTCTTTATTAATAAAACAAAAGTACTGTATATGCTGGCTTATAAGTTGACTTAGAGATTCTTGGCTCAGAAATTCTAGACCTTCGACTACCCCTAAATATGCAGTAATCTATGGCAAAAGCGCATATGGGTGTATTGCTTTAGTCGAAACATTGCCTGTAACATTTTTCAACGTGATGATTGTTACAAAAGTCGTAAAAAAAATCGGATATGGCTGACAAGATTTACGTAAGACACTAAATAATGGCTAAAATCTTCGTCGTCTTGGTAAGGATTCGTGTTAGACATTTTGCATCTAAAACAAGAATAACTATGAGAAACTTGTTATGTAACAGTGACAAACATTAATTCATTTTGTTTTAATAATGCAATGAGCTTCAAATTTATAATGTTATTTAATATTACAATGCACTTGTTACAAGCATGTCTAAAACACAAGCATTGTGGAAAATTTGTATTTATTTTTATTTTTCCACAGAACAGGCCCATTTCTGATGAAAAAGCATTTGGAGGTTTTGTTACATTTGAAAAACTAATGATTCCTAATAATGGATATTGTTCTGGTGCATGAGGGGTGCTTAATTGTGCCACTTTTGAGAAAATATTCTCCTTGACAGGAGTCGAGATTGCTGGAATGCAAAATATACAAAAAGTTTTCTTGTGCTCGGCATGCTTCAGAACTAATGTCTAGATCAGTGTTGCCAGAATATCTGAAGCCCTATTTTAAATTTTCTTGATGCTTTTACTTTCAGGCAAGACTTCTGCACATCTGAGTCAAAATCAACACGTCCGATAAATTGTTTGTAATGTATTGCAATAGTAGGCTACATTTGTATGGCTTTGCTTACGCGCTACCATCTGTAGTGATGTAGTGTAGATGCATTATCTTTTAGGAAACTGCTTGTAGTGTAATTATATAATATTCATTAAACATATTTTAGTCAAAATATTTCTGGCAACCCGTTGGAGTTATGGTAATGCAATGATTCTTGTGAAATGTTGCTGTTCTACGGTAAATGTTTCAAGCCTGCCATATAAGTCAACCGCTAGTTTGAGATATTTTTGGACTTAAGATTCAGTTTTATATGCCAGTTTAAACAGTAAATTCTCGATTGTCAAAATAAATGTAGTTTTCCGCATACTGTGAAAATTGGATGATGATTTGCATACAGTTTTTAATTAGCTATCTGTGCGAATGTCGTGTTATAAACGGTTTATTCTTTGCTTAGCACCATCATCCAATGTTTTTTCTGAATAAAAATTGTAATAAGTATTTGACGCATGAATTAAATTAATTCTTAAAATGTAAAAAACAAAATACATAATCATTAGCATTAATAAATTATATTTGAACTCCAGCAGTGTACATTTTCATATGTATTAAAAACAATAAATTATAGAATTACACATTAATTCCTGCATTTGTGGCATTTAGTATGATGATTTGTAGATTCTGAAATTTATATTGTACTTTAATTTGGAAATAATGACCATATCTGTTTTCTTTTTTTGGACAAATAAGAACAAACTCTATAATGTGAAATGAAACTAAATTTTTTTGAATCTTCTGATTTGGCATCATTCAAATTGTAAAAATAGCCTCTGTTAAAGTTCAATTTGTTTGATTCAGAAGTTGTTTTTAGAATGCAGCTGGTACTGAATTAAGAAATTCAAATGTTTTTCTGTTAAATAAAAGGGGCATATACATAAATATCTAAGCCCACAGTGGAAAATTATAACATCTAAAGATAGGCTTTGCTGATAGTGCTGTTAGTAATTTACCTATTGATGAACTTCAGCCAGATCAGACTGTCTACGGGGAGGATAAAACTTTGGCTGCGGCAGTTGCCTACAAAGAAAACTTCAGTTATTATGGAAGTAGTTCTTTAATATTTCAAAAGATATGCATGAACAGTGTGTTTTAACACAATATAATTACCATTAAAATAACATCTCGTTTTTCTTTTCTGCAACTTTCAAAGAACTTAAAAGATAGGATATTTTATGTGAATATTTAAATTTGTAACAAGTGTTATAATAAGTGAGAATATTACACGTGAAAATTTATTCTTCTCATGTAATTATACCTAGTGTTTTGATAATTTAAAGCTGCAAACTATTTGGTATGAAGATTTAAAATAAGTAATAATATCCGAAAAATGTCTAAATTGTTATGAAAATGAGATATATTAATATTGTGAGATGAAATAATTATTCAAAGTACTTAGGAGCCTGGTTAAACCCGCAACAGGCACAGAAAAAGGCCCTTGGTGCTCACGAGGCAGTCAAAAATGAAAAAAAACCATTCTGTTAAGAATATGCATAGAAAGTTATCAATTACATTATATTATTATTTTTATATTAATACTGAAACTTGCCGACTAGCGATAAATTTCATGATCCTATTTAGACTATAGGAAAGCTAAAATAATGCTATTTTAGTTCAAAGATAAAAAAAAAAGGCTGTTTTGTGTTTAAGCACCTTCCTCAGCGCAAGAATTTCTTTAAATGCACATGTTAAATTCAATTGTTAACATTTTAAAAACAGCACAAACTCTCGTGAAAAGTAAGAAACCTTTTTTTTTAATTAAGAAAAAGTTTTCTACTTTTTTAGAGTATAAAATTTGTTACAAAACTGCTGAATATATTAATATTCGTGTAAACAAAAAGTGTGTTAAATGGATCGTAAGTCAAATTTATGGTGGTTTTACTCGTATAAACAATTTTAGAATTAAAAATAATATATATTAAAGAGAACCTGTTTAAGCATATTTAAAATAAATAATCTTAAAATACACATTCATCAATATATCACTTAATGTTTTCTATTTTATAGCCCATTAAATAATGGCAAAATAATGTTTGAATTGGCTCCAAAAGCAATTTAGTGTGTGTTCTTAACATGATGATAATAAAAATTAAATATATAATAATAAATAAATATAGCTAATATAAACTAAATGTAAAAGAAAAAAAGTCTTACCATGCTTAAAACAACAGAAAATTTTCATAAAACATTGTGAATGTACTCTCTGAAAAAATTATTTGTATATAATTTCAATTTAAAACTGTTTCTAGTAAAGGAAAGAAACAGAAGTTATTGTATTTATTGTAAATTATGCTGATTTTTGCTCACATGAAACATAAGTAAATGTATATTTGATGAAATTTTTATTTGCTATTATAGATAATATATTCACATTAAGATTATTTTAATAACATTTAAATTGTATCAACATGAATATTAAAACTGTATTAAATAACAAATATTAAGAATAATGTAATGAATAGTTTACCTTTTAGAAAATGTTGGTTACAGTTTCAATATATATATAATTATTATTATTATTTTTTTTTCTATAACGTTCTCAGTGTATCTGTCAAATTTCTATACAATAAAATACTTTAAAGAGAGTTCTACTTTAAATCTCTATAATAAACACATTTCTAATTCTATTTTTGTGAACATTGCCAGATTCACAAAATCAGAAATTGAATTATTTTTTTTCTCTAAATTTTACTATATACATTATTGTAAAAAATATTTTTATATATATGTATATATATAAAATGATAAAACTAAAATCTTAACTGGAAGATTCTCAAAATTGCTAGTTCAAAATCTCCATTAAATTTTTTTTACAAGCTTGACAAATGAAATTTTACAAATCTCTCTATTGAGTATAAATTCTGTTATGTAAAATATTGTGGAATTTTATACTGTTTCTTTGTATGTAATATAGAACTGCATTTTATTTAGGTAAGTCCAAAGTAAGATTAAATAAAAATCTTTAAAACAGAATATACACGATGGGCACTTTTCTACTACTCGATAAACTTTACTACACCCATTATTGTCTATGTCTGAATAAAAGTAGATGGATTAAGATTCAGCATAATTTGTTACAGAACATCAGATCTTCAAGTGGAATGTACAGATGAATATAATTACTATTCCTTAGTATCTGGATTTTTTAAATGTTTCACAAGATCAATACATCAACACACAATATATGTATATATATATTATTTGTCTATAATATTGAACACACAGCAATCCAACAACCACTGCTTCTTTCCTTGCACTTTTGTCTCTGCTCTGGAAAAAAAAAATATGAATGTTATAACATTGAAAAAAAAATTTGCTTATTGTTTTAAAATTAGAAATTCTAAGTTAAAACATTTCGTTTTTACCTTGTGAATTTGGTTCAGGTAAGTTTTCTCTAGGTACTAAATGCATTACAGTAGTCTTACCCAGAGGTAACTGGAGAGCTGTAACAAAATTCAAACTTTTAAACATTTTATCCCAGAAATTTACATAATTATTTTTTGTTAAACTAAATGTAGAAGTTTAGATTCTACTTTTTAATTAATTTTTTTCTAAATATTTATGAAATAAAACACTAGAGTGAATATTTGTAAAATTTTCAACATCTTTTTGTATAAAGAAATATTTATATAATTTTTTTCCCCTCCTTATATTTTTGTCCTATTCATTTAGACTGTTGTTTATTAATTTATAAACTGTTCAAAAATATTTGCTTCCTACTGATTCTATTTCTAGTTTTCTGTAAAAAATCATTTAACTTTTGATTTTATAGTTAACATCATGTTTTATATGGAAAATATTTCAAACCTGACAGACCTTGCCTACACTTAAAACATTCCTATTTCCTCCCAAATTCAGGTTTTAAAAGCAAGCATTATATGTATGGAAAATTCTCACATAAATGGCCATGTAATGTAAAAACTGTTTACAGCTATTGCATATTTATGTCATCAAAGAACTTAACTGTAAATTCTGATCTTTTAAGAAAGTTAGAATTAATTAATTATAAAATTAAGACATTACAGTATTGATTTCAATAATGATAAGCCATCAATATTGATTTAAAATTTTGAGAAAACTTATTTTGGCTTTTGTGCTTAACTTAATCATCATTACTTAATATTGAAATATTCAGAAATATTTGTGAAAGAAGAGGAATATTAATGAGATGACTGAAAGAATGGAGTTGATTCTTAAGTTAATAAGATTATTTTGTACCTAAAAACATTAAAGTAAGTCTTTCATTGGCAAATTTAATTACCTGATTTGTCTGAATGATACATTTATTTAATAAAAGTAATACACATCTTTTGTTTAAATGATTTATGTAGGAAGTTTAATAACTAAATAACCTTGTTATTCTTGTCTGTACCAGTTTTGTGCAAGTATAATGATGATGATATTAAGATTGAGTTTAATAATTCAAATAAACAATAATAATTTTATTCTTTTTATTAAATCGTATCAATAATAATTCATTTACTCTGTATAAAACTGATGAATTCAAAGGATTTTTGAATCTGATAAAAACTAAAACTATTCTTGATATCCTGAAGATGTCAATAAGATAAATATTGAATAAACTAAAGCAGGTTTCGCTCAATACTATTTGGTTTTTAGTACCTTGTTTTTAAGAGTTTGTACATTTCATTATCTAAAATTATGCCTAATATAATCACAATATTTGCATTGTACAGTACATTAATAATTAGGTATTATTTCTTAGTACTTAATCAGTTGTCATTCAATATAAAAAATATTTGAGAAACAATTTTATGTAGCATAATACAAAATTGATTCTTGGATGCTACAAAAAAATTAGTAGTGCTAATAATTTTTGTTATTGTTATATCTTAGTTAATAAATATATATGTTTGTACAATATATATAAGCAAGCATTTTCATTTTCGCTACTTACTACAGGATTAGTTTCTTGTGGTTTATATAAGTTTAAATATTATAAATAGGATTTATTAAAAGTTAATAAATCCTATTTATAATTTATTTATGAATTTATGGAATTACAAATATGTATTTTCAGCAAAAAATTAATAATAATTAAACAATAAACAATTCAAATTTCAAGATAGCTAAGTAAAAATTGACAAAGTTTTATACTATTATTATGTTTTCAAAATAAAATGTAATATGGCTTTTTAATATTAAAAAAAAATTTACTCCTAAAATTGTTTTATTTCTATCCATTATTTTGTTTTTGTAGAATGCTCTAGACAATAAAAAAAAAGACTATAACTTCGTCTTTTTTTCCCCCGTCATATTTTTCTAAACTATATTTAAAGACAAGAAAAACAATTTCACTAAACTAAATGGAATCAGAGAAAATATTAGAGCATTTTAATTATATCTATGTTAAATTCAAATCAAATTTTCAATGCAAAAAATAAGTTTATATTTACTGTAAAATTTATATTTTTTATGCATAATAATATAGCAAATATATAGTAATAAATATAGTAATAATAATATACCAATAATATAGTAAAAAATAATAACCAATAATATAGTAAAAAATTTTATGTAAAAAGAACTTTTAGTCACATTACAGTAACTGTAATAATAATTACAATGAAAAATTAAATAACTCACCTCCTAAAGTCACATTTCCGTGAAGAAATCGTCCCTGATATATAAGTCTCAAAATTTCAGCTTTTGGTACAGCTTCATCAGCCCATTCTATATTTTATAGAAAATGTGAAAAGTTTTAAAATCTTCAAAATAGGTCTTCAAAGATATTTTAAGAATATTTGCACAAACTATTATATAGTTAATGCAAAAAATATATTTGTATATATTATATGTTAACAAAAAAATGGACTACTTTCTTCTATGCAATTCAAAAAAGAATTTTTTTAAAAGGGTTTTACCAAATTTGAATTTGCTGAGATAAGAAATTACCTTATCTATTATTACACTTAGATAAGTCATGTTTAAAGTTCTTTCATATGTAACTTACCATAAGGCCAGTTTTCAAAAACATATTGAGCTATATCTGCTGCCGAATCACTTGGTGCAAAGAGAAATTCTCGACTCTTTCCACTGGCTAGAATGAGTTTCATATTAATCTAAACATGAAAAAAAATTATTATTATTAATTTTAATGTGAACAAATTATTTTAACAAAACTTTAGATAATAATATAAAATACAGACAAATGGGAAGGATTTATTTTAAATTTATATTAAATCAATTGCTAAAAATAATAATAATAAATTATTATTATTATTATTATTAATAGAAAACTTAAATTAGCTGAATAATGTACATTTTGATTTGATATTTAAGGTTAATATTTCAACATTTCTTTTCCATAATTGAAAAATATAAATTACTTCTTTATATATTTAAATGGTAAATTTTAATGTTTATGTACAAAAAAAAATATGAGAGATCTCAATATTTTACTCAAAAACTTTTTCTTTTGATACATTATATGAAAATATAACTTTATAGTTTTGCAAATTTACTATAAAATTCTTATAACTATAAAAATTCTATAAATAAAACTGATATTATTAGCAACTTTATTATATTACACAGCTTAATAGATTGCAATAAAATAAGCTCTTTATTAAATTTTAATATGAAGGAATTTTATTAAGATGTCCATTAATAAATTTCTAACTTGCTATAAAAGTTCAATTTAATCAATTCTATCGTTAAATATTATATATTAAAATAAAAGTCATTTGAATAAATCAATTCTTACAATCAATTAAAACCTTTTATTCATTTCATTTTTACATAGCTAAATAATGAATTATTTTCATTGTAAAACAAAAGTTGAAAGATTTATTGGATTTCTCCTTTATTTAGTCAGGACGAAAAAGTATGGCCAGACATTTTGTCAGGATATCAACTTTGTACATTTCACATAATGGGTACGTTATCGTCACGAATTTGAAACACGCCACGGTATCATTTTCTTTCAATACAGCATTATTAAATGATATCAAATTATACACGAATCTTCTTTTTCTCGGTAATACATCAATTTACTTACAGTCCTGCAAATCTGACGTTTATTGTAATTTTAATATCTTCAATAAGATGCTAAAATAACGCAAATTTTAATATTTCATGGCGCATAAATCATATTTATTTTTAAACAGAATAACAAATAAATCTTGTATTACAATATAAATATCAGACACAATAACATATTGTACTCTTTAAATATATATATAGGACCTACTGTAAATTTATACCGTACGTGCATTGTATATTGATGCTTTTTAAATATAAGAATATTGCGCGTGGATAGATAATATTTATTTGTAATAAATTCGTTTAGAATTTAAAAGTTTTAAAATTTATAGAAGAACCTAAATGTGAGATTTTAAATCGCTATAAATCTGCACTAAAATCAATCGACTCTTTCGTGAACTATTTTTGATTGAATGCTTCATTCCACACATACACACAACGAGATCGATCAGATACAGTTAAAGATAATCGGAATCGTTCAGAGTTTAGATTTTGAGGATTATAATGGACTATTTCCTATGAGAATAGATACATATGCGTCATTAAAGTTTATGAGCTCATTAACGAAGTTATGTTGCATAATAGAAATCGATAAATAGACTATGTTAGATTAGCATACGGAATATAAATTGATTCCTAGTTTATGCTGATGAAATTTCATTAAGTGACGACACCTGACAATGTTCTTTTCCCCATTAACATATTGCGAAAATCAAACATTTACGCTTTAATTTTCATCTGTAAATCGATAATTCGGAGTAATATACGTTACCAATTTTTATTACAAGTTACACTTAATGATCATCATGAATAAATATTTTGCAGACAAAAAAAAATCGGCAAATATGCAAATATTCGAAACGTAAATTTGCTAAATTGTCACAAGAGATTCGTTAAAGGCTTAAATTGTTAATTAACCATAATTAAAATCTAATTTAATTTTCTTATAAAGTTTACACTTATATTTCCTCCGGAGTACATGCTAATTTCCTTCATTAAACATCGATAAATTCGATAGGTACGAATTAATCATGTAATTTTGATAGATACTACTGTAATTTATATTCATATAGGTGATGTGGTTGTAAATCAATATGAAACTATTAAGTTACTGTTAATTTGAATATTTGCGTCTATACAACTAGTAACATTAATTGTGCTTTAAACAGTGATGGAACAATTACATGACAGAATTTAGAAAAATACAGGACGTCATTATACCGTACAGTTTGCAAGAAAGAGTAAAAATATATTTTTAACAGGAAAGAATCTAAAAAGAACAGTGTAGACACACTACACTTACACTATGTCACATACTAGAGAAAATAACTGTGTTTTGACTAGGATAAAAAATAAGATTAAAAAACAAGAAAAACAACTCCGTTCCAGAAACAATAAAAGGAATAAAAACATCAATTCCATTAGTAGTAAAACCTTAGATACAGATAATTCTCGACAAGTCTATAATAATTTTTGCTCCGAGCAGGAAATCGGATATTAGTAAAATAAATTAAATTACAGTACCGTCTATTACATTCATACTTGTATTAGATTTAACAAACTTTACATTTTCTAGCCAAATAATTACTTCCATTAGCATAATTACCCATTTATCTCTATTTAATATTTTAAGGCGTAGCGACCTTAATATATATGTGTATATTATATTCAAAGTGTATTTATTGTTATTGGAAGTGAATCTACATCCCTTCTCGGTTCATAGGATTTGCATATTTAATCTTGCATATCGTTGGCGAGAATGATGACATAGCAGTTGCTTCTATCTCACTTGATCGAATAGTTATTTCTAAGACACGGAAGAGCAATGAAACTCAAGGTTAACAACTGAGAGTGGGTGGCGCCAGTTTGGGATAGTTGAAGCTCGGGTTTCGTGCATAAGTAGAGTATAATGAAAACTATACGCTCGAAAGGTGAACAATAAACTTTCTTCTCCATAAAACAAAATGCAACAGTAAATTAAAAAAGGACGAGGGGTAAAAAAACAGATAAACAGAGAGAGAGTGTACGGGCAAAACAATAATATTTCCTAAGGTTAGAAATCATCCATTCGGAAACTTTCAAGAAACTATTACGTCCTGTTCAATAGGATATTCGATGCGACATAAACCTGACTGTGAGTAACGAGGTCATCGCAGCCTTTCAAAGTGACAATTCGATCAATAGCAATGACCCAACGTATAAGAAACATTACAAAATCTAACATAAATCTAAATATTTGCTAAAAATCAATCTTACTATTTTTATTTCATCTATGGAGATTTTAAAATAATATATACTTTGAAAAAAAATAATTATCAATTCTGAAAAAATTCCGTGTCCTGTTTATTTTTGCATAACAAAGCAACAAAAGAAAAATGTCATTCATTCCGATGGGAAAATTATTCTTATAACAATTTCGATGAAATTATCAATTATCTGTGAAAGATATGCTATTTCCATTGCTTTCAGAAGTTAATTCGATTTTAGAAATCTTAGAAAATTATAATTCCAATAAATTGATTTGTCATTTTGCATAACGATTTGAAAAATAAATCTATCCAACTTATCGACCACTTTGTCTTGGATTACCTTACTTTGCTAATATAATTACTCCTTGAATTTTTTTTTAAATCGGTAAAAAAAGAAAATACTATTGGAGCGAGCATTTTCGCATATTTACAAGTGCGTAAAGGTTTTGTGTATGATTTTTTTAAATCGATAATATCTCAAATGGATGGGTATTTCTCTCTAGGACTGTAACCGTGGATTTAAATTATGCTAGGTACAATCATAAGTACCATTACGTCCTTCCGAACTTCTTCAAACAACAACATTTATCTCGGTAACAAATCTAATAAAAATTAGAGTTAGGTGAAATTAATCGCCTTAATCTCAATCATTCATGAAGTAGGAAAGAGCAGGAAGTGAAAAGGATCCTGTTTGTTACAACGGTAACCTTAAGGGTCAACCACCTTTCGGGTGGGCAAGGGTTTTTTTTCCTAATCGGTTGGCTGATTACTTTTCTTAAACCAATCGAAGTTAGTTACCAGAAATATCCTTACAGCCCAATTAAATCAGGTTTAACAATATGCGTTTTAAAAAGGAAAAAAAAATTATCATCTCCAAAAACAAGTTAAAAGTTTGCCTGTTTTATCTTTTCTTTTTTAATTTGAACTTTTTCTGAATTTAATTTAAATTATATATTTTGTTATTTTATTCGAACACTCTTGTTTCTAAACAACATTTAACAAGAAAGAAATTCCTAGGAGTATCAAAATTAAACTTTAATTTATTACAGTCTGTTGTATGCGGTTGTAAAAAAAGAATTATAGATGCACAGCAAAGTAAACAATCTCGAGCAGTAAATGTCTTAGATACTATATATAAAAAGAAAAGTGGATTTTAAAAGAAGAAATGATTGATACGATAAAACACCTGTTAATTTTGTTTCTCAAAAAACAAAAACAAAAAAAAAAAAAATTCCAATGGTTATCCATCAACAACATAGTTATATACAGTACAGTATATAGGCCTACAATATCATTTTAGCGATAGGACACATAGAAAATTAATCAAATCTGGAAAGTTTGAGTTTTTATTGCTCGAACTAGAAACATAAATAACATTATCCACACAAGAAAAAGTTGATCAACAGAATTACTCCTGTTTCATCTCTAAGCTTTGAGATGAAAAAGAAAATCGAGGAAAAAAGTCTAGACTCTTCATATTCCTAAATTAAGATTTGATAACAAAAGCATTTTCTCCCGATTCTTAATTCATTAGCTATCCTTAAACGTATAATATAATATTAATAGTATATAAATACTTTTTGCGATGACCATAAATTTATTTGTACAAAAAAAAAAAAAAATACAATCTTCGATTTCGATTTAAAATACTAAAAACCATTAATTTATTTCGCCTTCGTTCGTTTTCGATGTTGGATCATACCGAAAGCAAACTTTTTTTACTTTTACTTCCCTATGTTTCTACGTAGAATGAGAAAGTAATTTTTGTGGCTTCACCGAATTGTTTGGCAATAAAAGAAAATTTCTTTTTTCTTAACAGCAAACGGATCGATTGCGAAATCCTTCGTAGGAAAGAGTTTTAAGATTAGAAGCAACTCTTTCCATAAAATACTAACGGAATAATAATAATAATAAAAGAATCTAGAAGTCTGCTTTGCTGTAATTTTTCTTATGAACTCATTGAAACTACATAACTTGGTTGAAAACCTGAAGAACTGATAGATTTTTATGAAATTTTCTATCAATCCGATTTCCTTTGTAAATAAGCGAATTTATATTCAAAAGTATAAGAAGTAAAGTATAATAAAAGTAAAACAACTTCGCCGGATAAGATATTTACTCAGGCTATCAATCTTGCAATTCGCTTCGAAAATATATTTTTATATATTAGATGATAAATTTTAATCAAAATCATACAGAAAAACCGAAAATCCGAATCTTAAAAGTACTGTACTGAAGTAAATGTGGCACTTAAAACTTGCAACGGCGAAATTATCACGTTTAACATGATAATTATGTCATTATTAACTTAAAGCAACACGCATGCAAGATTTCATAATTTAATAACGTTTCCTGGGGTGTATAAGGAACTTATCGCATTAAATAATTTTTACGAGAAAGGAAGGGGAGAAAAAAAAACGACTAAGTGTTTTTTCTCGTCGAAGAAAAACAAAATAAAAACATAAAAAAAGAAGAAAACTTAATGCCTTTTAATGTTTTTATTACTTATCACAATTGCTAAATGCTCTTTAGTATTCTACAGTTCAAACTTATGAAACTAGGATAGAAAATTTTCTGTGAAGGTTAAGAGGGTCAAGTACTATATATTCTGTTACTAAAGTTCTGTTTATTTAAGGCAGGGTTCAATTATATTTATTTTGATACGGCTTCTATATTTTATAATCGACGGATTTAAAAAAAAAAAAAAAACTACGCACGCTAATATTGCGCGTAAATAATATTTTAACTTGAAAATTTTCGATTCGCAGAATTAAACAAACTTGATTTAATAATGAATTGAGTTTTACGAGAATTCTCGGTATCCAGAAGAGGAACACATGTAAACTTCTTATATTTTTGAAAGGCCCTTATTGTTTCTTTACAAAGAGAATTTTAAAAAAAATCGTATGCTTTTTCGTACGCACTAGACAACATTTCCGGACTGTTAGCTAAAGAAACTTGATCTATATACTTTAATATATTTATATTTTAAACTGAATATAAATGCAATTTTAAAAATACATTTCGTACCAGGAAAATTGCTCGTGTTTTTTTTAAATATTTAAATTAAATCTAGAAGCGTATAAAAAATGTCTAAATATTTTTTTAAAAATTTACGCTGTATAAACTTTAAATATATCAAAAATATTTTAAAATGTCTTTTTTCTGAGTAGAATATAATGCGAGGAAGATATAAAATGATGGTCACGGTTTGATAACAGAGCAGGTCGGTCACAGGAAGCATTATGAATCATTGCAAAATAAAATGAACATTGTGTTCCAGAACGTGTGTCTTTTTAACTATTAATTATTGCAGGAAGACGATATTGCTGCTGCACAAATACTTGCATTTTCCATTATACCGGACAAATATCGCAATATCCTAATGTTCAGATATTTAAAAATGATAAAATATTTCTATTTAGAATATTTATATCTTCGAAACGGTTTCCGGAATTTCAAATTATAAATCGTAAAATCAAAAATTTAAATTAATTTATCAACACTTAACAACATTTTAAACTTTATTTTGCAATCATTTCAATCTCGTTTATAACGAACATTTGTAAGATTCGATTATTATTTATGTAATTGTAAATAATAATAATATAATCCTAAAGAGAAAAATCGGTATTTGTAAACACATTCTTGCAACTAATCCAGGCTAAGATTAATTACATCTGACCTTAAAGAGGTTAAATTACTTACGTAACTACATGGAGCTGTGCGTATGTATGATTTAATAACGCTATCTTAAAAAAAAATCTTAGTGAAAAAATAATCATTTTTAAATAGTGTGAATACGCTTTTCTAAGAATAATTTTCCTTCCAGAACCGAAACAGTAAACGCAAACAATGCTTTATTGTCGAAGTTAGAGTTTTGACCTAATATTTAAATTTATGTAATATTTATTATAATATGTAAGTTAGTATTTATATATATATATTCTTGCGTGCTTTTGAAATAGTATCGTGATATCTATTTAAATACCAGATGTGGGTGACTTTGTATACAGTACTTTTGTACATTTGAAAAAATAAATAATTAATTCGATCAGTTGGCAAGCAGCATTTAGTCAAAAGAATTCGAAAAATAAAAAAATAGTTAATACACAAATAGCACGCACTGAGGCACAATATGCAAATTCTCTAACGAGTTAGTTATTAAAGAGTGTCAAGGATTTATGAAGTCATTCTATTCTACACTAATAAAATAAAATTATTCCCGAAGTAATAAAACGACGTTCTTCAAAAATATATTATTAATCCCCAACGTTAAGTAACGTGCAATTATAAAAATAAACGTGTATTTATTATTTATTTTCAGGAATTAAACTTTGATTACGGCGAATATATATTTTTTTCGGTGGAATCTATCAACAAAAGCATTGATCAAATATCGATACAGAACTGTTTATAATGATAGCCACCGACTTGTGATTTCCTCAAGCAGACATAAACAAGATCAAGATGACCTCTTCATTTCTAAAAATGAGTAAAAACAATGGTCAATCAATAAAATAATGTATAGTTTGTATTATAGTTAACAGAACTTCTTTTGTAAGGCCAAAAAAACAAAATAAAAATATTAAATTCGGTATATTTGTTTATCTACGTGTATGTATGTATATAAATATTAAATTCTCGTCGATAATATTAAAATTAAACTTATGAAATGAATTTTTTTTTAAGTATTTCTCCATCGAATTAATTATGTATAATGTCTTACATTATAGAGAGAAACATGATCCATTTACAAATTGACCGACCTTTTAAGGAATTAACCCACTTATGGAAGTTCTGAACCGATGTAAAACATTTTATAAAAGTAGAAAATTTTCAAAATTTCTCAACACAACCTTTTCCATTCGTAAATTTTTTAAATAATTCCATTTAAAATTGAATTTTGGGAATACAAACAAATGCTTTGCAACTACACTTATCTGATTTCATTGAATTTGTGTAGAAGTATGTGTACTGTATATAAGTTCATTTATACGTCAATTTAATTTGTAGACATTGTAATAACTCATTAATTATGGTTTTTTTTCTTAATTTTGTGTATTGATTTTTGTAACTTATATAAGTTTGTATTATTAATAATTTATGCATAATGGTTTCACCCATGGTGGTGAAACCAGTATGCTTAAATAAATAAAATGAAATTAATTATTATTCTCACTTAATGAGAATAATATTTAATTTATACCAATTTGTGTGCGTGTGTACAGTCATTTTCTGTGTGAATTTCCTTTTAAATGTATAAAACATGGACCATTTTTTTATAATAATAATAAATTAATGAGGTGTATGTAATTTAATCAATGTATAATCGATTTACCTTATCACTAGGAATCTTCTGTCCCATTCTACTGTTCATCTTCGATAAAAAATATTATTTTATCCACTTTAAGCCTGCGAGCACTTCTTTTAGAAAGACCAAATCATCTTAATTTCAATTTATACCGCAGAAGGGAATGGCTCTACGCAGTTAATATAACACAAGAAATACCACACGTTTCTTCGCTTTTTTACGATGGAAAGTCAAAATGATTAATATACTACGGATTTAAACGTTAGAATATATTTACGGTCGATGATCAAGCGAACATCTCTTCTCTCCGACTTTCTAGAGCAAAATGGCGACTATTGTCAACACTATTCATTAGGTAGCAGACGATAGATGTGCAGCGACATCTGCCGTAGAAAATCGATAAAGCTATTTTTTTTTTTTTAATAATAATAAGAATAATAATAATTATTATATTTTTGAATTCGTTAATTCGTTACTTAATATAAACCGTACTTATTAACAATTTTAATTCGTTTAGTTATTAAGGAATACGCGCCACTAAACGCCAATCTTCCGTAAATGGCGGCTTTGATGTGTTATGAACGATCCGCTTTAATATAATTTTTTGTATGTTTTATTGTATTAAATGCGTAATAAAAAGATTAATTTGTTTAATTTAAATCGATATATATATATATTAGGAATTTTCACATTTTATACAGATAATTTTGAGAGTCTACCGAATACACCATCTTGAAAACGCTATCTACCTTTCCCGTTTCCGATCTTCTCCAAATATTTTAGGAATTTCGAGTGATTATATTACTATTATCATCAAACCGATGATTATTTGCCGTGTTTTCTTAACTAAAGTTAAAGAAAAATATTTTAGAAACACTCATACAGCTTCTTAGATCTGTTACAGTGGCTAGAAAATATAGTGTCGAAATCGAGCTTATTTTATGTCCCTATATTGGAGGTTGCCGCAAGAGGCGCTGCTGTCAATCGTTGTGCTACACTGGCTGTATCATCCTATGTTTATATTGGTTTTAAGTGGGATTTTTAAGCATAGTAAATGTGCTGTAGCCAAGTAAAAGAATTTAGATCGATAATAAATCATATCACTAGCAATCAATTATTATATAGTATTACTTTATTAACATTTATGAAGGAATTCATTTTATTAAAGCTAATTAAGATTCTTATTAAATCAAATAGCCTACACTGTATTGTCTATTTTTACATTACAGCTGTTGAGTGCTGTACAAACAAGTATTATTTAGAGTACAAGAGTAATCTACTCTTGTTATTACCTTATTAACAACAAGGTTTAT